GTGAAGCCAAGATATTTATTTACCCAAGTATTTTTTTTTAAAGTAAGTTATTTTATTTTGAATTAACAAGTAACAATTGTACAATCCTACATAGGATACAGTATGATGTATAGGTGCATTCATTGTGTTATTTCCAAATGAGGCAGTTAGAGTATTCATTACTTCTAGCATTTATTATTCCTTTGTTGCATCCAGGGATTTTTTATTCTATCCTTTCCCTTTTGCACACTGCCTGTCTCCCACCCCAGGCCCCTGCCCTGCCTCTCCTAGACAGCAAGGTCCAGTGACTACCTTTAATGTCTGAAATGTTATTATGCTAATGTTCTGAGTCACCCGATCTATGTGTTCTTGCACCTCCTTTCCACAGTGCTCAGTAGATACTCCTCCATGGTGTGGAAACCACTGCTAGAAATCTTTCTCATGGCCCACCTCGTTCTCCTGGGTTTATGGCAGCAGCTCAGAGGTCTCAGTGTTCCAGGTCCATGTCCAGAGGGTTCCATTCTCATATCTCCTGTAAAGTTGAACGCTTCTTCAATGGGTTCTCTTCTCATTAGACTTGTTTAAATTGTGGATTGTGCACAATCATTACTTTTACTGATTTTCACAGCAACAGTCAGATTAGATGGTAGGACCCTCCCTGGGCAGATATTGTTTGGTGGTTCTTTGAGGGAGAAAGTGCAATTATCAGGGCTCTGCTCTGGATGGGAGACCTGACACCTCTATTTTTACTGAGCTGCTGCTACTCTTCCTCTTCTTTCTCCCTCCCTCCCTCCCTCCCTCTCTTTCTTTCTCCCTTCTTTCCTTCTTTCCTTCCTTTCTTCCTTTCTTTTTTTTTTTGCTCAACTGCAGCTGAAATTTGATAAGGAAAAATGCTGTTGGTTCCAGGCCGTACCAGATCACTGTTGGCCGACATCTGAAGATTCCTGCAGCTTTGGGCCTCTTACAAACCTTGGTTTTGTATATATTGTGCTCAGCCTGGAGCACTAGAACATTTCAGACATTAAAGGTAGTCACTGGACCTTTCTGTCTGGGAAGCTGCCAGGATTGGAGGAGGCGTTTAGCTTTAGTGCTATCTCTTTTTTAGTCTAAGACATACTTGTGTGTGGAAAAAAATTATACTTGCTTCCCAAAACTTTCTTCCCCTAGCCTCCTAAAACACATACCCAGGAAAGTACACTAGTCAAGGTAACCTCCAGTTCTTTTCTTTTTTTTTAACATTTTTTTTTTTTAACACAATGCCTTTATTTTTATGTGGTGCTGAGGATCCAACCCGGGTCCCGCCCGTGCTAGGCAAGCGCTCTACCCCTGAGCCACAACCCCAGCCCAAGATAACCTCCAGTTCTGACCTTAGGGGAGAAAGCGGAAGTTACACATTTAAAAAGGAGCTTTCCCTATGCTTGGTACAGGCTTGAGTATGTTTCTCTCACCCACACATACACCCAGAATCAGACTGCAGAACCACCACCAGCCCTGCACTCCCTGGGGTGAGAAGGTCCAATAAGAAAGAGGGGGTGGGGAGAATGGAAGGTGGGTCCTGCTAGGTGGTGTCATTCCTTGCCACCTATTGGTTCAAGAGACAGACACAGAGTAGGTTCCCTGCCTTTGTCCTCCCTGCACTTCTACTTGAGTTCCACTGACCCTGCTGTCCCCCTGACAGTGCTGTCCTCTCTCCCTTGGTGAAGCAGGGAGAAGCGAGGGCCTAGCCAAAGCTCTGGAGAGCTTCCCATTTTTGTGCTCAGATCCAGGAACATACCTTTCCCTGCAGCCCCATGTCTGAGGCATTCCCTTTCAGTTTCATTCCCCAGTCCCTGGGTAAGATTAGGGATGGGAACAGGAGTGGGGGGTTGAGGTGGGGAAAAGATGCTGGGCACCATGCACCTGCCTAGAACCCCAACTTGGTCCCTACCAAGAGCTGGAACTGGGCCAATAGCATCATCAATTCATCCAGGGTTCAGTGACTTTTCTGTATTCAGTGCACCAGCCTAGGCAGTTACACTCCAGGGGCACAGGTGTGCAGACCAGTGGGTACAGCTGGCTTACCCTAGGCTCACTATAGGGCTCTGGAAAGGAGGTGACTGCAGCTATGTTGTGGGCTTTCCAGGTGGCAGGGGCACCCTGCAGTGGGAAAAGCAGTTAAAAAGCATGGGCTCATCAGCAGACGTGTCTGGGTAGGGTGCCCCTGACACTGTGTTCAAAGCTTGGGCACACAGGACAGGGGCAACCAGTGGGAAAGTAGCTGGAGCAGAGTGTGAAAGGAGTAGCTGGGGCCAGGCTGGGAAAGGCCAAGCTGGCCAAGTAACCACTCAGTCACGGTTCTGTCTACCCACCATCTGCTTTGTGAGCATGGTGCCTCTGCTTTTCCAGCTTGAATTCTTTATCATAATCTTTATTCTATCTGTATTTGGAGAGGGAAATCTAAGAATCCAGCACATGAAATACAGTCCATGTGGTTAATTTTCAGAGTGTTTATAACCCCCATTGTTGCAAACTCCTTCAGTAATTTTTCCTATTTTTAGTGTAAGAATTTGAGGCTTTGCTTAAAACTCCATTACTCTCTACAACACAGCCAAAGTGTTGAGGGAAGGAGAGGACTGAGGCAGGTAGGATGCAGGGAGGAGGTCCTGGGATGGTCCAAGGCTACATGTGGGTCTGCAAAGCTCCTGGGATGTATCCATCCAGCTGTGATGGCTGGGAATAGAAAATGCACCTTGGATTTAGCAGCAAATAAAAAGTTAAAAAAAAAAAGTTCTTCAGTATAGAAAATAGGCTTGTTCACAGAGAGTAAAGTTAGTAGAAATGTAGATTTGCAAGTCCAAAGTCAAGCAGAGCACAGCCGTGCTCTGATCTGTCTAGCCCTTCCTCCTTCCTTCTGCACTGGTTTTCTTCCTCTGGTATTCCTTTTTTAAATCCTCGTAGGAGCTTGGGGTTTTCTGAAGTCATGTTGACTTCATCCTCTTTCTCTCTCCAAGCTTGAGCTTAACCTCTCCATCATCCTTGGACTTCAGTCCCCACAGCCCTTTCCCCAGTGCTTCACCTTGTTGCCACTGGCTCCTTCTAATCTCATTTCTCCCAGCTGGTTTCTCTGGCTTCATTCTCCTCCCCCTCCTCCAATCCTTCCTTCACATTATAGCAACGTTGTTATTTAGCCCAGCCCTTGTCACCTTCAGTGCGATCACCACAATAACATTCTTGCCAAGCCCCAGCTGCTCATCAAGGATGTTAGGAGCTTGACGCATGTTCTGTCACTACATTCTTCAAAAAGAAGTGTGTGAAACTCAGAGAGATGAGTTGCTCAAGTCCAGGACCATGCCTGTAGAGGGTTAGGGCTGGAACTTAGCCCACACCTCAGCAACACTAGTATCTCCTCTCTCTATAGCATCAGCAGACCTCTACTCAAAAGCTGTCACTCCCTGGCTCAACCCTAAGAAAAGCCCCCATGCTTGCTCTAGTCCTTGAGAGCCTCCACAGTGAGCCCCTCTCACCCTGCCCCCTCACTTTTCAGTCTCATCTGTCATTCCATGCATGAGTGAATACCATGGGGGATAATTTCCAAGACCCCCAGTGGATCCCTGAAATCACGGGTAGTACCAAACTATGTTTTTTCCTTATATATGCATACCTATGAGAAAGTTTAATTTATAAATTAGGCACCGTAAGAGATCAACAATAATGACAAATAATAAAATAGAACCATTGTATATTGTAATATTATAAAACATGAATTGTTTTTCTGGAATTTTTCATTTAATATTTTTGGACTGTGATTGACCATAACCTGGGAAAATGGAACTGCAGATAATAGGAGAACTTCTATACTACTGTCTGTGTAGCATGTGCTTCAGATTCCACTCTTGCTCTCAGTCAAAAGCCATCTGAGTATCATGAATAGATAGCCACTGCTTCTGTTTTTCTGTTTTATTACCTTCTTCCTGAAACTCTACCCTAGCTTACCAGAGTACTGTCCCTGGCCTGCTGAAGTCAAGGACTATCCTTTGCTTAGTTTTGTGTCCCCCAGCACCTGCTACTCATCCCATTACAGAAAATAGTGATGGAGACATCCCTCAGCTTGTACAGAAGGTCCAAGGCTATCAATCTCAAAGAAGAAACATCTCCATTCAGTGACAGATGATTAGTTAGCATTGGTGAGCGAAAGCCTTTGTCCCAATATAGAAAATCTTGATAGCAAGGTAGTGAAATAAAAAATTCTACATTTATCCTTAAAAGGTCTGTCTCACCCAGGCAGGGTGGTACATGCCTGTAATCCCAGCAACACAGGAGGCTGAGGCAGGATGATAAGTTAGAAGCGAGACTGGGCAGCTTAGTGAGACCCTCTCTCAAAATTAAAGATAAGAAGGATTGGGGATGTAGCTGAGTGGCAGAGTGCTTGCCTAGCCTGAGTTCAGTCTCCAGTACACAAAATAAATGAATGATAAAAGACCTGTCTCTTGTAGTAAAGATACCATGTAATTCCAGTTCTGAGAGTTCCAGTCCTTTTCATATGTGGACAATAGTAAGAATGACCTGGGAATTTAATAGTACTATTGCCTTGCAGATGTAAGCAGAATACTTTTTAAAAGTGATCATAATTTTCAGTTTCTTTACTTCCTCTAGTATATCACCATATTGCTTAGAAACATTATATCTGTATTTTTCTGTTTTGAGGCATACATTTGCAACTAAATCACACATAGTTTACCTTAGCTCACAAAATAATTGTATTAGCAGTGCTCTCTGAAATGTCCCACTTCTCATTTAACAGAACCCCTGACTCCAGCTCCTCAGAATCAGTTGCTGCTTCTGGTTTAATAAATATGTCAGTAGATGTTTTCTAATGATTTCTTGAGTAAGATGAAACTGATAATTTTCCCTGAGGAGTATGTTATCAAAGGTAGTTTATTTTGTCATATGAAAAAACTTGTTATCTGTGCTTTCTTTTGTTTCATTTTATTTTGTTATTATCTGTGCCTTTGCAACCATGCCCTTCCTCTCTCTTTCTCTAGTTTCTTCAGATGGAGGTACTGAGTCCTCTGCCTTAGTCGATGACAACGGTAGCGAGGAAGACTTCAGCTATGAAGAACTCTGTCAGGCCAATCCCCGGTATCTACAGCCAGGCGGGGAACAGCTGGCCATTAATGAGGTACCAAAAATCCACACAACAGTGACATTTATTGGACTCTGGATTTGCAGGGTCCAGAACTACTTCAGAGGTTGCTATCTGATTATTTTTTGCTAAGCATTTTCTAAACCCTAGAACTCTGATTCCCATTGGGGGATAGGGGTGTAGTTTGGTGGTAGAGCACTTGGCCTAGCATATATGAAGCCTTGGGTTTAGTCCCCAGCTCTGAAAAAATTGGCTGGAGGGGTAGCTCAATGGTAGAGCATAAATGAGGCCTTAGGTTCAATATCTAGCACTGGAAAAAAAAAAAAAAGGCAAGCAAACAAAACATACCAAAAGAACAAAACCATGCGTATACAAGAACAACACTGGTTTTTTTGCATTGTCCAGAAAAATGTCTGTGATCAAGCTTTCCAAGTAACTGAAGCTTATCCTTTAAGTAATTAGAGCAGCAATCGTTAGCACTCAGGTCTTGCTTTTTAGTTTATGAAATGCACTCATGGCTCATGTAATTCTCAACTGCAATCTAAGATGTAAAAGTTAACATTAGTAATGTCCTGAAATGGATTTGGTAGCAAATGGTAGAGCTGGAATTAACCATGTGATTCTCACTCCCAATCTGATGTTCTTTCTACCACTTTGCAGCTTTAGTTCTTTTTACAGAAATTTTTCTAGAAGGCAGGCACCTCAGTCTTTGAATACTCTTAAGCAGAATGTGTGGAGTGTAACTGAGGTCTGTTAGCCTCCCAACTGAGATCTCCTGTCATTATTCTAAACATGATATAAGCCAAGTATCCCTAAACTCAAACCCCCAAATCTGAAGCTCTTTAAGCAATAACATGACATTCAAAAGCTTAAGATTTTGGATTTTGGATTAGAATTATCAACCAGTAAAGACTATGCAAATGTTCCAAAATCCAGAAAACTCAGAAATCTGAATTACTGCTGGTCACAGGCCTTTTTGTCTGTAAGAGCTAAGGGGAGGCAGAATCAACTCTTCCCAGTGAATGAGCCATATCTGTTCTTGACTTTTTCAATAACTGTTAAATATCCCAAGATCAAGCCATTGTCTTTAATTGTAGTAAACTATAAAGTTGAATATCGAATTGGGAATTAATATGAGTAACACACCTCTGGGAGAACATGTGCAGGACTTCCATTAACACATACAACTAACATTAGGATGCTAGGCTCCAACATCTGCAGAAACCAAATATTCCAGATATTCAAGGTTTTTAGTTAACTGACCTAGAGCTAAGTGAGCTGTTTATACAGTCCCCAATTTACAATGTTTCAGCCTTTTTTTATTTTACCATGATGTGAAAGCAATACTCATGTATTCAGTAGAAATATACTTTCAATTTTGAGTTCTGCTAACAATTCATTCCATCCCTCCGTTCATCCATTCTTTTTCACTTTCATTTTACAGTGGTCCGTGTATTACCTGAGCGATTTAACATATCATAAAAGGGTTTGTTAGATGATTTTGCCTAACTATAGGCTAACAGGAGTGTTCTGAGCATGTTTATGTTAGGGCAGGCTATGCTGTGATGTAAGGTAGGTTAGGGGTATTAAATGCATTTTGGATGTAGGATATTTTTAATTTACAATGAGCTTATGCGGAGGTAACCCCATTATAAATCAAGCGGCATCTGTACATGTTTTAAAAGTGGATTTGGGGGCTGGGGTTATGTGGCTTAGTGGCAGAGCATTTGCCTCGCACGTGTGAGATACTGGGCTCAATCCTCAGCACCACATAAAAATGAATAAACGCAGATATTGTGTCATGTATAACTAAAAAAAGTATATTAAAAAAAATGGGTTTGGATTTTCTTTTAAGAACAGGTTGGAGATGCCCACCTGGTACTTTCCCCCCAATATGTTTTCCTCTATTGATTTTTGTATAACCAGTGAAAGTAAGGATTGACTGGACGTCACCAGGTGTCTGAACAAGAACTAAGAGAGGTCAGGGTCACCAAGATAGAGCCCATACAGCAGCTCCCTTGCTCCTACCTGTTCTTAACATGAAGCCTGTCCTGTCTCTGTTCCAGCTGATCAGCGATGGCAGCGTGGTCTGCGCAGAAGCTCTCTGGGACCATGTGACCATGGATGACCAGGAACTGGGCTTCAAGGCCGGGGATGTCATCCAGGTCCTGGAAGCCTCGAACAAAGACTGGTGGTGGGGCCGGAACGAGGATAAGGAGGCCTGGTTCCCTGCAAGCTTTGTCAGAGTAAGTGTGTGGCCCTTTGTGCTTTTTAGAAGTATCTGTGGTGGAACTGCAGACTCCTTTCAGGCAGATCTCCCCCTTATTCAGGTCTATTCTTTGGTAATTTTTTGTTTCGGTCCCACATACCAGTCAAACCTATAAGAAATCAGGTTAGTCCAAATAAAAAATTTAATGAAGGTAAACAAATTATTTGGCAATGCTGCTGTTTCTTGGAGTGTGTTGGCAGGGCTGTGGCTCTGCTAAGGCCATAAAGATGGAAGCTAGGGCCAGGCCACTCTCATAACTGGTCACAGACAAGTGGGAAGCCATGAAGTCTTCACCTCCTCCTTCCTCTCATCACCTGTCACCTGTGTGTGCACTGCAGCTTCGAGTCAATCAGGAAGAGCTGTCTGAGAATTCTAGTAGTACACATGGTGAGGAGCAGGAGGAGGATACCAGCACAAGCCACCACAAGCACTCTGAGAACAAGCACCAGATGCGGACAAATGTCATCCAGGAGATCATGAACACTGAACGGGTGTACATCAAACACCTCAAGGACATCTGCGAGGTAAGGTGCAGGCCCCAGGGCCTTGCTATAGGTCAGAGCCCATGGTTACAGGACACGACCCCACCTCCTCCTTACAAGCACACTTTCCTATACTTCTCATTTCTCCTTACCTCTGCTCCTGCCCATCTAGCCCCTGCCCAGATCCATTAAACACCTGCTATCTACATTGCTGAGTTTAATGGGCTGTGGCTATTTTACCTGCTCTTGCAGCCAGTCCTTATTTATTCGCATACATATATAAATGAATCTATGTATACACAGAGATGGGGTCTCGCTGTGTTGCCCAGGCTTGCCTCCAACTCCTGGGCTCAAGGGAGTCTCTTTCTCGCCTTCTGAGTAGCCAGTCCTCTTTAAAGGGCACTTTGCAACTTTTTCCCTCAGGACTTAACTCCTGGGAGTATTTAAAGTGATTGACTTCTGCAGAACCCACTTTCTCCAAGCCCCCAGTGTCTAATCACTGACTTGTAGATGAAATTCAGAGTCGTTAGATATAGGTGAAAAAAATTTTAAGCTTTATCCTAGGCTATATTTTATGGTGTCATGATATTTTCCTCAGCAATAATTTATTTTATGTTCTTGTCCTAATTTCAGAGAACTGAACTTTAGCAGATGTGAGTCTGCAAGGCTCCCTCCCCTATTGCTATGTGTCTTGTAGACCTTGTCTGAGTATTCTGCTGAGCTCTGGCCTGCCAGGTCTGATCATTCCGGCTGTCCTAGCTGTGAATGCTGAGATCTGCACTACCAATTCAACTGTGACCATTCAGCACTAGAGACAAGCTAAGGCAAAGTACTGTCCATTCTGTACTTAGACAATTTGCCACATGGACCTACTGATGTTTTGCTTACTTGTGCCAACCTTCTTATTCTATGTCAATGTGTGGTAAATGAAGTGTCTTTAAAGTGACATATAAAGACCACCAAATGACTCAGCTATCCCACTCCTTGGTATTTTTCAAAAAGATCTAAAACTGACATATTACAGCAATGCAGCCACCTAATGTTTATAGCAACACAATTCACAATAGCTAAATTATGGAATCAACCCATAGCCTTATCAGTAAATGAACTGATTAAGAAATTGTGTTCAGGCATGGTGGCTCATGCCTGTAATGCCAGCGTCTGGGGAGGCTGAGACCGGAGGATCTTGAGTTCAAAGCCAGCCTCAGCAAAAGTGAGGTGCTAAGCAACTCAATGAGACCCTGTCTCTGAATAAAATACAAATAGGCTGGGGATGTGGCTCAGTGGTTGAGTGCCCCTGAGTTCAATTTCTGGTACCAAAAAAAAAGAAAAAAGAAAAAAGAAATTGTGGTGTATGTATACAATGGAATTCTACTCAGCCAATAGAATACAAAAATGGCATTTGCCAATAAATGGATGGAAATGGAGAATATCTTGCTAAGTGAAATTAGTCAAATTCAGAAACTCAAAGGTCAAATGTTTTCCTTCATATGCAGTAATTAGAGTAAAATAAAGGAAAGGGGCAGAGAAGGATAAGATTACATAAGGAACCAATCAAATATAAATAGATAAATGAAAGAAAGTCTGAAGGAGAAGAAGGGAGGGAAGGAGAAGAGTAAAAGGGGAGATCATGAACTGAAATCAAATCCCATGCACGTATGAACTTGTTGGGATGCACCCAACTACTATGTGTAACTGTAAAGCTCTGATTAAAAAAAAAGTCACAAAAAATAAAATGGCATTTTAGGAAAATCAGAATAACTGCTAATCATTGTCAAATATTTATCATGCTCCATTTCTTTGCCTGGATTAACTCAGTTACTAACCATTTTTATTGGACAATCTTGTTATCCCCCTAATGCAGATAAGGAAACTGAGGCAAGAAAGTAAAGTGGTAGAGTTGGGATTTAAACCTAGGCAGTCTGTCCCAGAGCCTGCACTGTGAACTATTGCATTGTGTTATTATCCTGTTAAAATTCATACCAAAAGTAAGTGGTATGTATTTTATTTAAAGGTCAGTTTTGGGACTGTGGTTGTGGTTCAGAGGTAGAGTAAGAAAATTAATTAGCACTCTTAGTTAGGAAAGTCCTCTGATTAAAGTTGTACACATTTTTGCTGTATAGTGAAAGTGGAATCCTTGTGTTAGATGTCCTTGGCGTCTTGCCATGATTGACAATGAGCAGAGCTGCATTAGCTATTCAGTAAGCAGTCACATTCCATGTTTGACAAGGGTTCTCAGCTGTGCAATAGAATTAGGGATGGGAGAATGATTGTCTTTAAGAATTTAGATTAGTGTGACAGTACTAATTTTTAAGTTCTGGTATTTGAAACTAGTTTCTGGAAGCTTTAAATCCAATCACACGAAACTTTCCACTTTTCTTTTTGTGTTTTTTTATTTTTCCCCTAAATATTTATGCTGGGGTGGGGATATACTCAGTTGTTGAGCACTTTCCCAGCCTGTATTATGCCTGGGGTTTGATCCTTAGCATTGCATTTCTTTGACCTTTCAAATAAAAAAGGTTGCTTTTGTATTTTACAGGGCTATATTCGACAGTGCCGCAAGCACACGGGAATGTTCACTGTTGCACAGCTAGCCACTATTTTTGGAAACATTGAAGACATTTACAAGTTCCAAAGAAAGTTCCTGAAAGACCTTGAGAAACAGTATAACAAAGAGGAACCTCACTTAAGTGAAATAGGATCCTGCTTCCTTCAGCATGTATGTTACTGATGCTTCTTTACTAATAACATCTGGTTAAGTAATAATTTTGAAATGAGACTCCACTAAAAATAGGAGTCTTTTTTCTTTATTTTGGTTTGCTGCTGTAATTGTTTGCTTGATTAATTTTCCATAGAATAGAGATGTCACTTGTAAAATTAGGTTGGGTGGTTTCTCAATACCCCAAGGCAATTTTTTCAATATCTTTTTGTTCAGTTTGGGATTATATGTGGAGTAATAGTATCCATTAAGTGTCTGTTATGTTTCAAGCACTGTTTTCCGAGGTTTCTCATTAGCTCCTCTACATTCATTAGGTTGATATGATTGTCTTCCCCATTTTACAGATGAGGAAACCAAGGCCCAGAGAGTAAGTGACCCAAGGTCACACATTACTAAGTAATTGGCATGTGACATTGTGATTGTTTCAAAACATTCCACTAACAGTGACATGAGTTTATCATTATTTACCAGTGATTGACTATTACTATTTTATATACTAAGATTTCAGGAAAAAGACAATTTTATTTCCAGCCAAAATAGTCAGGGAATAATCATAGTAATAATGTTAGTGACAGCAACACCATTTTTCAGTTCTTGGGTTCTGGGCCTGAGAGCTTTTGAGCTGTTCCCTCAGGGTGGGTAGACCTTAAATCGCTGATCATCATGTTTTGGTGTGAAGATGGGCCCTATAGGTACCTGGAGCATATCTAGGGCATTATAATAGACCTGTGAGGTCAGAGTAGCAGGTCCTTGTAGAGGAGAAATAAGAGAGGCTTCAGAGGTGAGGGAATTAACAGGAGAGCAGGCTGGTGAGTCTCCTGAGGGCTAGAGAGAATTGCTGCTGCCACCAGGGAGGGTACTGGTGAGGGACTGGGAGATGGGAAAAGAGATTTATCAGAAGGGGTATTTTTGAGGAAAGTGTGACAAGTGGTTATAGGTGACAAAGAAAAAACAATAGTCAGAACTGCCTTACAGGGTTTTGAGTCTCAAAAATTAACAAGAAGCTTAGGAAAATCTGTTTTCTAGGGAAATAGGGGATTAGTTTGACATTCTGTGTTTGAGCACACTCAAGTCTCCACCATCCAGCAGGGCAGGGCCAGGCATGGGAAGGAAGGAAAGGCAGCTCTGGTGGGGGCTGAACACGTGTGAGTATACTGCCCAGTGGCTGAGGGTCAGGGAAAGGCAACATTCAGGGACGTGGAGCAATGCCCAGGGACAGGGCCTTGAATGCAGATACCCTATTGACCCAAAAGGGTGGAGGAAGGGAGGGAGCCCACAATACAGAGAGGGAGAAAGGGAAGAATGCAGCTCTGAAATCCAGAAAGGTAGATGGTCTTGATGGTCTTTCTTGAGATAGGAGAGTGACATGTGTGATAATCAGGCCTGGGAGAAGTAGGCAGAATTGTGGGGAGGAGGTGAAGGAGGCATGGAGTCAAAGAGTTTATCAGTGAGCCAGGCACCAGGAAGCATACCTATAATCCTCGCAACTCCAGAGGCTGAAATAGGAGGTCTCAAGATCAAGACTAGCTTGAACAATTTGGCGAGAACCTGTCTCAAAATTTAAAAAGACTTGGGGGAGTTATAGGTATAGCTCAGTAGTAAAGCATTCATGGGTTCAATCCCCAGTACCCCTCAAAAATAAAAAGATCTTATCAGAGAAGTAAAGACAAGCTGGCTAGAGAGAATCGGGTTTCTGGTAACACTTTTTTCTCTGCCACTTCATCTACAAATCCAAGCTGGGTGAAGAGGGAATGGCAGAGGTCCTGCTCCTCCATCTTTCCATGTCAGAAGCCAGAGCCTTTGCCAGTGCCCATTGCTGTTGCCCAGGTGTGGAAGCCACTACACAATGGCGTGGGTCACCTTGTGTCTAATGACCTGTCCTTGCTGCAGTGATCCTTCCTCCTTTTCAGGAGTGTCCCCTTAGATGACCCAGAGTCACCCATAACCTGATAAGGCTGCTTTCCCCCTCCAGCAAGAGGGCTTTGCCATCTATTCCGAGTATTGCAACAACCATCCAGGAGCCTGCGTGGAGCTCTCCAACCTCATGAAGCAGGGCAAGTACAGGCACTTCTTCGAAGCTTGCCGCCTGCTCCAGCAGATGATTGACATCGCCTTGGATGGGTTCCTCCTCACGCCAGTGCAGAAGATCTGCAAATACCCTCTGCAGCTGGCAGAGCTGCTCAAGTACACCACGCAGGAGCACAGGTGAGGGAGCTGCCATGGGACCTTCAGGGCAGATGGGCAGAGATGGCATTGCCCTGAACCTGTGCCTACCCAGTGTTTCTTCAGTGGCTGGGACAGATGGATATAAATGACAATCTTTAGAGCTGTTGGTTTTTAGGGTAAGGGTTAGTTATGTTTATGTCTGTCAACTATTGAAAATTCTAAAGAAAAAAAAAAAAAAAAGAAGAAAACGACTTATAGGATATTTGAAGAGGCTCCAGAATAGGCATTTTTAGAGATATAAAAACATAAGGGTAATTCTTAAACTATGTCATGAGTGTGTGCAGGTTTTTACTACATTGTTATTTCTTACCATTTAGAAATACTGGATGAATATTTTTTCATAGTAGTTAATGAATCCATTGGTTAAGTAGACAGGTGTGACTATAGTGGTCGCCCTGTATCTGAGAGGGAGACATTCCAGAAACCTCTATGGATACCTAAAACCACAGATACTACTGAACCCTACATAGATGCATAGACTATGTTCTTTCCTGTATCTACATATCTGAAAAAGTTTCATATATAAATGAGGCACAGTAGGAGATTAACAACAACAATAACAAAACAGTTATAACAAAAATACTATAATAAAAGTTCCCTAAAGCTTACGAATTATTTCTGGATTTTTCCATTTAATGTTTTCAGAGTAAGGTTGACCATGGGGAACTGAAACCACTGAAAACAACTAGATAAGGAAGGACTGATTAACCTGGATAAGGAGGATCACTGTACCAACCTGCAGAGTATAGAGTGTGAATCATTCTTTTGCCTTCTCTGCCTCTGAACTCTTGTGGAGAGACCAGGCTTAAAAAGGGACGCTTTTATAATAAATAGATTGGAAGGTGAAGAGTAAGAGATGGCCACTGAACACTAGGCCTAGGTACCAGACCTAGTTTAAAGAATTAGAACCAAAGTGTGTGTGTGTGTGTGTGTGTGTGTGTGTGTGTAAGCGCACGTATCTTTCTGTCTCCTGTGGAAAAGTCAGAAAAGTTCGGTAGGAAACACAAACGTGGATGTCAAGAGAGAGCCACTAATTTGTGGAAGTGTTTTTTAAAAGAATGAACAGGCATCATGATAAGGAACTAGAGAAAATAGATAATTCAGAAGCAAAGCCTCCTTGAAAAACATTTACAGGCAGCTTACTGCATTCCAAGGTAGAGAAGTTGTAGTCCAAGTTCACACTACTCTTCAACAGTGTCTTTTCTTTTTCTTTTCCTCTTTTGTACTAGGGATTGAACCCAGGGCACTTTACCACTGAGCTATGTCCCAGATGTTTTATTTTTTATTATGAGACAGTATCTTGCTTAAGTTGCTTAGAGCCTCAAAATAATTTATAAATATATATGTGAACTGTTCTGTACACACACACACACACACACACACATATATATATATATATATATGAAACAGAATAACAAAATATATGAAATAAAATGGCAAAAAGCCCATTTCTTTGTCTTAAGTAAAACAGAGCAAAAATTCTAAAGAAAAAGAGAAGCCTTATATTCTACTTTTTTTTTTCTAGGATTGTACCAAAAAATTTACTTTGCACCCTTTTTCTAAAAACCTCTCTGGGGCATTCACTCCTGTTATTTTGACAGCCCCCATGTATCACTTTTGTTCCTCTTTTCTGCTCTGCTTCTGTGGGAATAGTCCTGTGTAAAGACAGTGAGATCTGCTTTATGGCAAATGTTGGTATTTCCAAAAAAAAAATCTAAAACTGACATATCATAGCAATACAGTCACATAATGTTTATAGCAGCACAATTCACAATAGCTAAATTATGGAATCGACCCACAGACTTATCAGTAAATGAATGGAGTTTAGCTGTGTTCAGTAGATAGACAGCAGCATCTGCTTTCAAGGCTTTTCTCCCTGGCTGTGCAGGAGGATTCTAATTCAGTCCATTTGAGTTAACCCTGTGGCTGTGTCTGTCCTGCTAGTCACCATAAGAGACTGAAAAGTTCAGCCGTCAGCTGGATGGTTGGTTTACATATCCCCAGATCATCAACGCTAAGCTAAACCTGACTGTGACACTTTCAGACACCGCTGTGTTGCATCCTGTGTAGATTAGAACTGCGGTTTCAGTGTTTTCAGTACTTATGGTTTTAGAGGCATGGAGAAGAGGGCTAGAATAGGGGGTTATTTTAGTTTGACTGCAGCATCCAGAAAACACTTTTTAGTGTTTTCTAAGTGAAGACCTACTGGTGAGGCAAAGGTTCTGTGAGCACAGACACAATTCCTCACTTAAGACTGTGGCTTGTATCCTCTCATGGCCCTTCCTGAACAGGGGAAAGAGAAGACTTGGTGCAACAGTACTCTTGAAATGGTTAGAGTGATTTTTAAAGTACTTTGTATAGCAGAACTGGCTATGTCAAAATCAAAGCAATAATGAAGATCATTCTTTCTGTATTATCAAAAATAACCCCTAGTCACCATGACCAAAACTTAGTTTTCTTGTGGCATTTACTTTCATTCATTGTGATTTCTGGGAAGTGAATGAAAACATTCTTATTCCAAAGAATTCTGAATTGCATTCTGTCAGCTTCCTTAACCTATGCAAACTGTAGTCTATTCATGGGGAAACAAGGAGAAGGGAACAATGGCTATTATTTAAATGCCACTTTGTCTAGACTATTAGTGTACAAATCAGGGATCCAGAGCATTATTTTGTCAGTCCTCATTTGTGAGTTGTGTGTTATGTGATTGAAATTAACTTCCCATTTTGCAGTGATTACAACAATATAAAGGCAGCCTATGAGGCCATGAAGAATGTGGCCTGTTTGATCAATGAGCGTAAACGCAAGCTGGAGAGCGTTGACAAGATTGCTCGCTGGCAGGTGTCCATTGTGGGCTGGGAGGTAAGTGGACTGTCACACACACACACACACACACACACAATGCCCCTCCACCCTTTCCTGCACCTTTGACCTGGTGATGATATACTTGAACATCCTGCGATTGACACTTTGTTTTTGGCTTTAATGATATACATTACTATTAATGGTCCATGTATTTTGAGGCATGTTGATTCCTAAGTTGAGAAGGAAATTATTACCTACCCCATATGCCACTATGGGCATTATATAATACAGTACAAATGTACTATCTGTTTTAGCCAATAATAATCGTCTAAAAAATATGCCTGCTGTTTTTATTTATACATACCTATGTTAAATACATGTATACTTGCAAATAGAGACAGTAGTTAGAGCCTGTATTTTATTTACCTCATATCTGACACTGTTCTAAGCCAGTTACATCTATGAACTCATTTAATCCTCTTAGCAGTCCTATAAAGTAGATAATGTTATTACACCCAATTAGCAGAGGAGGAAATGGAGCACAGAAGGGTTAAATGTCTTGCCTGCGGACACAAACAGTAGAATTCAAACCAAGCAGTCAACCTGGCTGCAGAGTCTTTGCTGATAACCACTGTGCCATATTGCTGCTCCTACGAATAAGCCATCCACACTCAGATTGTTTTTAGACCAAGAAGAATTCTTCCTACATCCATTCATTGGTCAAAAGAACTTATTCTCCCAGAGGATTGAGAGTTTGGAGTGAGGAGTTAGAAGTTTAATGGAAGTAGACTGTAACGGTGAAAGTGGGAGAGAAATACTTACATTTCAAAATCTTTTTTAGATTTTTTGAAGCTTGGACAGGCCTCAGACTCCCTTATTTTGTATGTGAAGAATCTAGGGCACAGAGTTGCTTCAGGCAAGTAAATAGAAGAACTATTTTGGAGTTAAGCTCTTTTGCCTCCAAAAAATATTATGTATGACTGGGATTAAAGGAGAGTAGAATCCTATAAAACAAAGGCCAGTGTCATACCAAATATTATAAAGTAACATTGGATTAGATCCAACCTAAATATTGTGGAAGTTTTTTTCTTTTTCATTTTGGACTGACATTTAGGGAATAATTTAGTGTCAGAAGTTTACTAATTTCTCAGTAGCAATTTGCTGCCTGACCTTTGTTTCCAAGACCCTAGACAAGTCAGGGAGCTGTGATGTTTCTGACTCAAAAGCCTACAGGAGTCTGTGGCACCACACTGTGTCCCTGTATTGGAAAAACCTCCTTGATGCTTCCTTATTCTTGAAGGATCAGTCTTATTCAGCTATCACCTGAGATCTGAAGCTATCACTTCTGGGGTCCTGCCTGCCTATCTGTGCAGACAGGCAGTGGGTGGTCTCTGTATTCACGTCTCTGGAAAATCCAAGAGAGATTATAGGTCTGTGTCTCAAACACTCAAAGGAATCAGAATTAGAAGATCTGAAAGTGTGTTTTCATCCTTCCAGGGATTGGATATTCTAGACCGAAGCTCAGAATTGATTCATTCAGGGGAATTGACCAAAATCACTAAGCAGGGCAAGAGCCAGCAGCGGACCTTCTTCCTGTTTGACCATCAGTTGGTGTCCTGCAAGAAGGACCTGCTACGCAGGGACATGCTGTACTACAAGGGTCGCATGGACATGGACGAGATGGAGCTTGTGGATGTGGAGGATGGGCGGGACAAGGACTGGAACCTCAACGTGAGAAACGCCTTCAAGCTGGTCAGTAGGACCACAGACGAGGTTCACCTGTTCTGTGCCAAAAAACAGGAAGACAAGGCAAAGTGGCTGCAGGCCTGTGCGGATGAGAGGCGTCGGGTGCAGGAGGACCAGGAGTTGGGTAAGCAGCCCTGGGCACCCAGGGCTTATCAGCCTCTGCTTTCCAGCCTCATTTTCTGCCTCTCATGCTTGCTGTGTTCCCAGCCCACTCCCTCAGAGCTAAATCCCACCATTGGGGAAAAAAGAAAGGATTTGCAAATTCTAAATACTTCTGAACTTGCTCCCAAGACCTAAGATGACAGAGGTGGTTCCTACAGACAGTATCTATTAGATATTTATGTTTTTGGTAGTAGGGGTTGAATTCAGGTGTACTTATCACTAAGCTACATCCCCAGCCCTTTTTATCTTGAGACAGGCCTCAGTAAGTTACCTAGGCTGACCTTGAACTTGCAGTCCTGCTTCAATCTCCTGAGTAGCTGGGATTATAGATGTATGTCACTATCTCTGGCTACTCAGAGCAATTTGAGAAGTGAAAGCAGAGCCCAGATGATGTCCAGTCAAAAGAAGTACCTGCCTCCAGGGGGAAGGCTTTCTGCTTCCTGCTCCCTGCTAGAGAAGACAGGGCCAGCACCAACTGCTGCTCAGTCTTCCACCTCTCTCTGAATCTCCTCAGCTTTTCTAGTGTTGCTTATTTTCATCCAGTTCACCTAGTACACAGACACTAGACACCCTTGTTCCTTTGCTGCAGAACTTGAGCATAAAGGACACTCAGGGCACACGTGCACATAGCTGGAGTAGAGTCCAGTACCCAGTCCTCCAACAGCACTTTTGTTCAGGTAGAATCATGGCCTTACAGAACTCCCTCTGCACACAGGGAGCAAACCCTGGGCCCCTTGGCTGCACTGTCTCCTCCTAGGGCCTTGTGCAGTAGAGTGGTGAGGGCAACCACATGTGAACACTTGCCCAAGAATGTCTGGCTTTACACAGAGTCTCTGTGGTTATTCATAGCAACCCATTTTATTCTTGGTGATGTCTGGCTTTGGAGGTAATTAAGAAGCCACCCTAGGACAGTCTTTCTACCCTTGATTTTGCTTCAGATTGTGGTGCAGGTGTTGCTCTGAAACATCATGTTGAATATAGATCATATTTGTTTCTTAATACAGGAATGGAAATTTCAGAAAATCAAAAGAAACTAGCCATGTTAAATGCTCAGAAGGCAGGACAAGGAAAGTCAAAAGGTAAGGCTTGAAGAAAGGTTGATCTCCTGAATGTGCATTAGTATCAGAATGAGAGAAGAGGGGGCAGTTATTAACTTCTGTCAAAGGGACAGACCCAAGTAATGGTCAATTGTAGATGGTCTGTATTTGGTTTATGTTGTTTAGGTTTTGATTTTTTGTTTTGCTTTGTTGTTGTTTAAAAATCTGGGGGTACTTTACCAGTGAGCAGTTCTCTGCACCCCCTCCCCTTTGATACTAGGGATTGAACTCAGGGGCACTCTACCACTGAGCCACATCCCCAGCCTTATTTTGTATTTTATTTAGAGACAGGGTCTCATTGAGTTGCTTAGTGCCTCACTTTTGCTGAAGTTGGCTTTGAACTCATGATCCTCCTGCCTCAGCCTCCTGAGCTACTGGTATTATAGGTGTATGCCACTGCGCCCAGCATTTTAAAAATTTCTATTTGTTCTTTTTAATTACATATGACAGTAGAAACTATTTTGATAAATTTATACAAACATGGAATATAATCTTATTCTAATTAGGATCCCAGTTTTATAGATATACATGATGTTGAGATTCACTGTGGTACTATTCATATATGAACATAGGAAAGTTGTGTCCAGTTCATTCTGCTATCTTTCCTATTCTTATCCCCTCTCCCTTCCCTTCATTCCTTTGTCTAATCCAATGAACTTCTAGCCCCGCAACCCCCCATTTTGTGGGATTGTGTATTTCACTTAATATGATAGTCTCTAGTCCCATTCATATACCGGCAAATGTCATATTGTCATATTCTTTATGACTGAGTAATATGGCATATATATATATATATATATATATACCAAATTTTCTTTATCCATTCATTTGTTGATGGGCATCTAGGTTGGTTCTATAGCTTAGCGATTGTGAATTGAGCTGCTTTAAACATTGATATTGTTGCATCACTGCAGTATGCTGATTTTAAGTTCTTTGGATATATACCAAGGAGTGGTATAACTGGGTCAAATGGTGGTTCCATTCCAAGTTTTTTGAGGAATCTCCATACTGCTTTTCAGAATGGTTACACCAATCTGCAGTCCCACCAGCAATGTCTGAGTGTACTCTTTTCTCCACATCCTTACCAACATTTATTATTACTTGTATTCTTGATAATTGCCATTCTGATTGGAGAGAGGTGAAATCCCAGTGTAGTTTAATTTGTATTTCTCTAATTGCTAAAGATGTTGTATCCCAAGCCCTTTTAATGTTTTATTTGAGACAGGGTCTCATTAAGTTGCTCAGGGCCTCACTAAGTTACTAAGGCTGGCCTTGAACCTGTGATCTTCCTACCTCATACTCTCAGTGGCTGGGATTACAGGTGTGTACCACCATGCTTGATTTTGAATGTGGGTGCAGCGAATGTCTCTGAGCTGGTACCTGAGGGCTGCAGACCACATAATTCCTTGTACCCTTCAGAGAAAGATGCTGTTACCCACCAGGTCACAAGAGACTCTTTCCTCTCGGGGCATGAGGAAGAAATCTGTACATTCAGAGCATCAGTGAGTTAAACAAAAGAGTGAGTGGAGTTTATTCAGTGTGAGCCCCTTCATGTAATGCACATTAGAATTGCCTGGCAGGGACATGAGGACATCCACACCAGACCACACACCTGGGTCCTGATGCACACACACAGATTATTCCATAATGCAGATGATACAGGTGATCGAACCCAATATTTTCCACTAATTTTTTAAATTTATTTTTTTTTAAGTACTGAGGATTTAACCAGGGGTACTTTGCAACTGGGCCATATCCCTAGCCCTTTTTTATTTTTATTTTTTGGTACTGGTCATTGAACTCAAGAGCACTCCACTACTAAGCCACATCCCCAGTCCTGTTTTGTATTTTATTTAGAGATAGGATCTCGCTGAGTTGCTTAGTGCCTCACCATTGCTGAGGTTGGCTTTAAACTCGGGATCCTCCTCAGATCCTCAACCTCAGCTTCCCCAGCCACTGGGATTACAGGCATGTGCCATTGCGCCCAGCCCTTTTTTTTTTTTTTTTTTTTTTTGAGGCAGGGTTTCACTAAATTGTTAGGTCCTTGCTAAGTTGCTGATGGCCTCAAATTTGCAACCCCCCTTCCTCAGCCTCTTGAGCTGCTGGGATTATAGATGTGTGCCACCATGCCCAGCCATTCAGTATTTTTCTACTTGAGAAGACAAAAGCAAGATCAGTTAAATCAAGCAATCTGATAGGCCCTCAATTAATTGGCTAAGATTACCAAATGACACTTAGCACTCCCCTACTTTCTCTGTGCACGTTTTTCCCCACTGAGTGTCTTCAAGGCAGAAAATCCATTTTATTTTTTGTATCTCTCTTAGTGGCAGGTAACTAGAAAATATGACTTGGTTAGAATATATTAGTCTCTCTCTGGATGTTCTATAGGTCATTCTTGTAGCAGCTAGGTTTCTAAAGACTGAAAGGAGCACTGACATTTTTGAGTGAGATTACCATATTGGGCACTTCTCCTGGGTTCTTCTTTCATCCTCCCCATCTCCCTGTAAGATAAGGAAAGCCCTGTGACAAGCTGGGGCAGGAGTGGATTCTGAACCAGTCAGCTTCTGAAGCCCTCTCTTTCATCATGTTATGTTGACTTATATTCTTACCTTTGATCTTTTAGTTAATTTTAATAAACCTTTTAATGACCTCTGTACAGATATAAAATACATACCCTGATGAAGCAGGGTTCAAGTGACAAGGTATCCCTCTTTGAAACATTTTACCTATATTGACTCATTTTATTCTTTATAACAATCTGGTACTGTTGTCCCCTTTTTAGAAATTAGGGAACCATAGAATAGACATTATGATTGCTGTATGTATATAGGTAGGTGACTGTATGACCAATGTGATTCTGCAATCTGTACAGTCAGAAAAATGAGAAATTATACCCCAATTGATTCAAATATATGAATTGCCAAGATCATTGTAATGTCATGTGTAGCTGATAAAAAAGAAAAAAGAAATTAGGGAACTGAGGCACAGAGAAGTCAAACACTTGCCTGCAAATAACTGCAGCTAGTCGGTGGCAGAACAGGCTTTTAGCTGAGGCAAGATGAGCTCCAGGTTTTCATTTAAAGCATGTTTTTGCTTTCCAACCCAACTCGTAGCCCAGTTCTAATTCTTTTAACTTACTGCTGTGTGACCATAGGTGATCTACATAGCTTCTCTGGGTTTCAATTCCCATACCTGGATGATATTAAGAGGATTAAATGAGATAATCTATGCCAGGCTTCCCACGTGGTATTTGAATGTACCATTTCTTAGGATAGCTATTCGGTATTCTTTTGGTTAATGTGAATTAAAAATTAGCTAAGATCTTTGAGTTTTGACACTTTTCTTTTTCCTTTGTGGTTCTCTTAAGTGACTCTCAATCAATGTTCTATCTCCCCCCCCCCCCCACCGGAGTTAGACTATAGCGGATGCCCTGTTGCCCCGCCGCACCAGAACCTGCATCCCCTCCACCAGCGCCACATCACCGTGCCTACCAGCATCCCCCAGCAACAGGTGTTTGCCCTGGCAGAACCCAAGAGAAAGCCTTCCCTCTTCTGGCATACCTTCCATAAACTCGCCCCTTTCAGGAAGTGAGAAGCAGGCCCATACTTCCCCTGAGGGACTGTGAAGAGGAGAACCATGTTCATTTCTTTTGTGTGAAACCCAGGGAAAGTTTCTTGGGCCCAGTGTTGAAAACTTCTTTGGGGGCTCAAGGAAGGAGTTGGACTCACCTTCACTTCAGAGATCCTGCTGCTTTCGTGGAAAGGAGGAGAAGGTCATGACACATAGCTCTGCCCTGCATGAGAAGCCCCAAGGAGCACTCTGAGGTGGCTGGGACTTTGGAACCAGGGTCAAGTTCTACAGGAATGCTGCTGTGGTAGCTCCACAAGCCCCACTAGTGATGGGGACACTCCTGCAGTTCCAGAGCACCGAGAGCTTTTCAGTGCTAAGGAAATGACTCAATTAGAGGATTGAGTCTGCATTTGATTTTGAAGGGAATCAACGATGGGGAGTAGCTATAATGCTGCCTCTCCCTACCATGTGTCTGGTCACACTTAGAAGGTGAGCTTTTACTCCCTCTGGTAGTATTAGGGGATCAACAGCTGCTTGGAGATGACCAGGGTGTTCCCTGGTGTCACCTGTGTCTACACAGTTGCCAAATGTAGGCTTCATCTTGCAAGGTGCCTCCTCTTCAAGCTAGTCGGGAAAAGTACATCCGTCTCCTGGCAGCACAGCTTGAGATGTGGGGGCACTGAGGCATCCTCCAGGTCATGCTACTTTCAAGGCCAGCTTGTTTGTCCTTGGCAAGTCGGATCTTCACCTGCCTGTGTGCCTTGTGTAACTCCCTGAGCAGAAATCACATCTCACTCATTCATCCTAACCAAGAAACAGCATTCAAACAACTGTTTGCGATATAAAAGCTCATTTACTTTAATTTTTTAATGACATGAGAATGGAAACCAGTTGGAAAGCATTCTTAAAAACATCCTGCACATCTTCTAACAGTTGTTTCCGATGTCTTCATCAGTAAAATTACAACTCGGAAGAACCCATGAAGAAAACACAGGGCAGAACAATCCTGCTTCTCTGGGGTTTAAAGCTGCCTTTGTCCTATAAACTCAAAACGGTGGAGATTCACTGCCTGTGAAAGACACCTTAGCAAAATATCTAGGCTCAAAGACAGGAGTCTCTTTTTAATGGAGGCCACACAGGCTGATGCCTGCAGAAAATAATCTCCTTTTCTTTGCCTATACTGAGAAGTATGATGAAAGTAACTTTTAAATAGTCTGGAGAAGACAGGCTCTGCATCAGTGTGCAGAGGATATTGTGTCACATAGTTTGTGGATTTCTGTTTGAGAAGCTCATTTTTTTGTATACTATTCTTGCAAAGTTTCTTCCCCCACAGACCCAAGCTTGAGAATAAACAAGTCTACAAATTTAAAGAGGAAGGTGTTAACTTTAAGGATGTAGTTCCTCCTTTCTCCCCTGCCTTGCCATATGCAGAGTTATTCATGCATCAAGAAAACATAACTCTGGACCTCTCTGCTGGGCCCTTAGGGCATTTTGTGACTATTCAAATGCCTGCTTACATTGGCTTGCTGAGAGTTTGCCTTGCCCTGTGGTTTACAGCCTCAGGGTTGCTTCTTTCTCACCACAGGTCCCTTGACAGAAGAGGTGCTATGGCTTCGTGCATTGGTTGTGTGTATATGTGTGTGTCCATGAATAACTGTTTCAACCTCAGTTGCATTTATATAACTGACATTTTTACTAACAAAATGTAATGATATATTTTGAAAACTACTTTTCTGTGCTAAATAGAGTTGTTTGTATGTACAGCAATTTTGAACAGGTTTTTGTTGTTTTTAATGTAATATAAGAGAATTGCTTTAAGGTAGTAAAAAATATCATTTACTTATGTTACATTTTCAGTGAGGACTCATTCGAGTAAGGAGTCAGAGGGCTTCCGTTTGCTAGTATTGACCAATTGGCAGTGAGCAAAGGCTTTAAGGTTTTGTGACCAGTCCTAACATGTTTCCCAGCTGAGTCCTATCTTCTAGTTCCCATCTACCTCCATGGACTCCCTAACAGAGAATCCTGAACACCAGGACATGTTTTGATTAAGTCAAAGTCAGTTCAAGACCTGGGATTGTGAGAATCAGTTTTGTAAAGCGTGATGGTCATTTGATGATGTCATTTGATTATATACTTTGCCTGGGTGGATTCTACTTGGATTCTGAGGTGATTTTGAAAACTGCTAACATATATATTTTTTTAAAGGCTAGAACATCCTTTAACTACTTAAATCTGTCTAGCTTGGGTTTTGTTACTAAATACCTGGGTTCTGCAAAGAATAGAAGGCCTCAGTTATTCTTGTTTTCAGTTTGCCATACTTCCTTTTTGATTTGCGTCATGTTCTACTTGGAGAGAGAAAAAGAGGCAACAAAAAGCCCCTGCCCGTGTGAATTTTATTGGGAAACCCCACCTCCACCCACTGCCCAATCTCTCTATCTTCTCCACCCCCAACCCTGGGTGGGCCTTTTTATTTTTTGGCCTTATAAATATGTACAATTTTTATGATTTTATGTACCAGTTTAAAAAATAAATTTAAATTTCTTTTTAAAGTCAGGCTTTAATGACTTCACTGGTTGACAACATCTGGATGAATTTCATTAGTGTATCACAATTTGCTAACTCTGTGAAAGACAGTTGAAATGGCCTTGAGCAGCTTTCTCGGTTTTGATATCCCTAAAGGTATGAGAACCCTGTAGTGAATTATAAGCCATTCTAAACAATATTTGAAAAGTCCTAGAGAAGGAACATTCGTTGTCTTTGGCCTGCTAACAAGGAAGAGGGTAACAAGCAGTTTGCCAACTCTGTCAAGGGATACTGTGTGCATGGTTTGTTTTCAGTAAATCTGGGTTTTGTCTCCGGTTGGTAGATGTGATTTTGTTATTGAAAACATATCACCACCATCAATGCCATATCCAAATACTGTACCCTTTTATACCTAATCTATTGAAGACTAATGCCACATCCTGTGATGTTATTGTATAGCAAAAGTGTTTTATTTCAAAATTTACTTCACAATCGAAATCTTTTGTAAAAACCAGGTGATTTAGCATCTGGCCAGGTAGAAATCTCTGCATGCCTAAATTGCTGATATTCCTGAATACAAATCAACCTACTTTCCTAGACAGAATAGAAGAGTCTGATTACCCAGAGCTGGGGGAGTATTACTGCATTATTCTTGCATGAAGGAGAGGAAAACCAGTGAAGTGTCTGTAAAAGGACAGTGCCAACAAGTGTGAATAAACATCCTTTCAATGAATGGCTTATAGACCAGGGATGTTGGACCCAACTTATAGATTAAACTGCTAGCAAAGTTTTCCCTGTAATATGCTTCACCTAAAAACTATTCTTGCTAATCTTGTTTATTTTCAGGATGTAATGCAAATGGAGTTCAAAAAATTTTGGGAAAAAGTGGAAAATTTTAGCTGGTCTTGGAAGGATTTAAAAAAAAACCCAGAAGCTTAAATGTTTCATGTAAATTTACCTAGTAGAACATACTTTTTATTACTGCTTTTAGTTATCACATTGGCATTGACATTTGTATTTAGAAAATACTTTAAACCAACTCTGTAATTTAATAATTAGTCTTTTTGTACATAATAGAACCCATTGTGTATGACTTGCTTACCCACTTTGCAAGGCTTTGGTAATTTTTAACTCATCCATATAAAGATGATGTTGTCTGTATAAGTCAGTGATGCTTCCAAACTGGTGGATTAGCTTTGACAGCTAAAGTCTGGTCTACAAGAATACTGTAACTTGATATGTATTTTTGTTGAAATTCTTTTTGTAAAAAAAAAAAAAATTATTTACAATGTTATTTGAATGATTTATTGTAAATGCTGTGAATCTATATTTGTTGTTTTGTATCTGTATATTAAAATTAATTTCCCAAACTGGTCTTAGTAATTCATTTGAGTAGTAAAATAAGATGATGCTCTGTTTAAAAAGAAGAAAGAGGCCATGAATGCCAGGAGTCTGAGATGGGAAGACCCTTTTCTGTCCTCATTTCTTCTAGCAACAACTCATTAATCAACCAGATCAAACCTCTGGGGAGGTGTAAGAGAAAGAAGGCTCTGAGGGGAACCACGAGGGGCCACTTGACTGAAAAAGCCACAAACTAATGGAATCAGACTGATGTAAGCAGAATTTGGAAATAGGAAGTCCTAGTTTGCTTGTGCTTTTTGGTTTTGGGAGCTGCACCCAAGGCCTCCCGCATGCTCCTCGCAAGCTGCTCTCCCAGCCTGGAAGTCCTGGTTGTAGCAGCTTTTTCAAGGGATGGAGTATGGGTGGCCCAAATGTTCCCCCTTGCAACAGCTACAAGGAAAGATCCCTCCACTAGGAGGTGACCTGGGGTCCCAGGATAACCCTTTGAATGTGGGGTGGATACGAATTTCCTTATCTAATTAACAGCTCAGAAAAACCAAGTAAATAGCCCATTGTTTGCTGTGACTAATCAGAAAAGGGTTCCTAAGAAAGCTGCCAAGTGCTTCTTGCTGGTTGTTTACTCCTAGGTCCACCTACTTCAGAGTGAGCTGCTGGCCCCTCCTTGGGTTGGGCTGAGGGAAGGCTGTGGGTGGGTGGGAAGCAGGGTGGTCTACAATGGTACCATACATAGGAATGGAAATAATTGAAGGACAGTGGCATGAATTCACATGTATTAGCTGCCTGCTCTATGCACTGGGGAGCTGAAATGTGTGAATCTTCCGAAGGAGCTTGTGGGGTCAAAGGGGAGCACAAATAGGTGTGACAAAACAGCGGGAACTAAGCAACACCAGAGCTGCATAGCTGTTACTCAGCCATGAGAGTGGAGTCCTCTTCCAAGGTAAGTATCTTGCGAGGGGCATCACACACTGGTGGGGGAAAGGGTGTGAGCTCCCCTGGGTTAACCATGTCAGACAGGAGCAGAAATGGAGCTGAGACCATGGTCTCAGTGTGACCAGAATGGTAAGCTGAAGTTGGATGGCCAAGGCCCTGTGGCCCATGGTGGCACTTGTGATTTCCTAATGTGACCACACAGTTTAAGGAAGGTTGCAGCAAAGATGTCCTATTTAGGAGCTGGCTGGGTTGCAGTGAAAAAGGGCAGATGTTAAACCAGAGGCAGAGGGATTTCATGGGAGACAGTTGCTCAGGTATAAGAACAAGGCAGGAGAGCAGGAGGCGGATGTGCAGGCTACTTGGTGGCCCTGGCGGATCTCATAGGAAAGATGGAAGGACTCCGGTCAAGCCTGATGTGATGAGTGAGTGGGAGTGCCATATACGGAGACTGAGGAGTGGCTTGGTAGTGGGACCGGGAGACTCGTCCTTGCATTGCTGACCATCTGGCTTATCCAGTCAGCAAAAGTAGCATGGATCTCAGGAGAGAGGTCAGGCTGGAAATAGGTTGGGGAATGGAGGAATCAGAGCAGGGTAGGCCACACACAGCCCTGAAGTCTTGTGTGGCCAGAGGATCCCTCTGGCAGCTAGACATTGCTGTTTGGAGCCCACCACATGAAGGGACATCAAGTATCTGGGTGTAGCGGTTAAGAGATGAGTGTAAGCCGTGGGGTGGCCAAGAAGCCAAGTCCAGGTAATGTATACCTGCAAATCCAGTTCCATCCCCTGGGACCTTATATTGGTTTGCTGTACTGAGGATGAATGGAATCATTTGGAGAGGAGGGTTGGGATGTTGCAAGCCCCTATAAAGTGAGGCTTGTCCTCACTGGCATACGTCCCCCAATGTGGCCTCTGCATTCAAGCCTCCTGCACCTCCCAGAAACAGACTTGGGGAATTTTGTCCTCCTGAAACTGTTTTAGATAAACGTTAATGAGCAGACTTAGAAAAAATGAAGAGTCAAACGGCAAGACATTGAAGAAACGGCCACACCATGTTTTTCTCAGCTGCAGGTTGAGAAGTGTGTATGAAGGCAATGAACTCTGAATCCTTAGCTACCCAAAGACCTAACAGCAAAAGGAATTACAAAGAAATTTGACCATAGTAGTCCTGGTTCAGGATCCAGCTGAGACCTGGTCACTGTTACAGTCTTAATTCTTGTCCTGTTGATTCACAATGGACCTTAGGTCCACTGAGAAGTTGCTTAGGAAAAGCCTGAACATCATTTTAAGGAAGGAAACCTGCCATGGAGATTCCTTCCTTCGGATTCCATGTGGAGGAATACCTTGTTTTATTAAAATGGTGGGAGGAGGGAGTTTTCTACACTAGCGAGTGCTAGTAGCTAAAGCTACCTAACTCAAGCCTTGCCGTGAATTTTGAAGCTCTTCCAAGATATCTTGTGCCTTCCTCCATCCCCTCCCCTTCCTGCTATTTTGCAGTTATGTCCACTAGGGAATTGTATGGCAGGAAGATGTGATTTTCTTTAGTTTGCCCTGGATTCCTGATTTGCACAGCACCTGGGTCCAGCCCGCAGCCCTAGGGTTCAGGTAAGCACATGGGGAGGGGATTTCTTCACCTTCAGGTTAAGTCTTCTGGTCCTAAAACAGCTGTTGTAATGTCAGTGAGAGTTAATCTGGCCTCATTTGCAAAATAGATGTCTTACAGAGTTTCGGATAGTAGGAAGGGGAATGGGATGTTTCAAAATTCATTCTTAAGAGGGTAAATAAGGGCTGGGGCTATAACTCAGTGGCAGAGCACTTGCCTAGCATGTATGAGGTACTGGGTTCAGTCCTTAGCACCACATAAAAATAAATAAAGCCATTATGTCCACCTACAACTACCAAAAAAAAATTTTTTAAGAGAGTAAATAGAAGAGAAAAGCAGATCTTGAAAAAATTTTAGAACTCTGCAAACCAGCTGAGAGAAAAGAGAAAAACCATATAATAATGTTCATAAAAATAACTGACCTTTCAGGAGAGCTTTCTAGAGAAGCTTGCAGGCTAATTAACACAAATATTAATGTGTACATTTTTTTATATTTATGGATATGCTAGTGTAGTAAATATTCTCAATATATGTTGAAGAGAAAATATAAGATGTACAATGCACAGAACACATGGAAGAAAATATAGTCAATAGAGGCAACTGAGATATTTAGATTCTTGGGCTGCCAAATGTCGGAGGGATGTCGGGGTGTTAGTTCATCTCTCACATTTTATGCACAAGGAGGCTGAGATTCTGGAAGCAGGGGCTTGGAAACCCAGTAAAAATCACTCAGCTGGTTTCTGGCAGATGTGTATTAAGTCAGCCTTTGGGGAGAATAGGATTTTTCTTTTTAAAGTGTAAAAGAGTAGTATTTATTCAAGTGAGAAGAAAAGAGACAGAGCTCCCAAAAGGCAAGTGGGGGCCCAAAAGAGGCTTCCCAGAAAGTAAGAATCTTGAAGAGTGAAAACCCTTAACCTTGGCTGTGAATTAGAGAAAATTAATCAGGAGGGCCACTGGATAACCCTGTGTCAAGAGACTCAATAGTGAGAGAGAAATATAGGTAATAGGAGAAGAGACTCAAAAGTAAGACATTAAGTCAGAACCTACTTTATTTGGGACTAAAAACAAGTAATCCCAAGTCACTTGCAGTCTGTGTCCCTTTACCCCTTCCATGTCAGAATACCAGGTCCAGATCACAGCATTCAGCAGGTGGCTGCACTATGGCTTGATGCTTTCAGATTGCTCAGCTTCATCTCAGGCAGTGGCTGTGCCTGAGGGTCTGTGTGCCATGTGTCCTCAGCCACTCTGAGCCTTGGGCTGACTGCGGGTGTACACAAGCCCTCCTCACTTCTGATGAGAGGCCAGACCTTGGGCAAGAGACACTTTGCCTTAGTCAGCATGTGGGCTTAGTTGTCAAAGATGGGTTATAAGTGCAAGACTCATGCATGGAATCTATGATTCTTCCTATGCCTAAACTGTTGCCCTCCTTGAGGAGTCCACCATGGCCCACCACCCTGTGTGCACCCATCACAGGAAATGGGAAAGAACCCAGGGAATGACATACCCCTTCCCCTTTCTGTAGTCCACAATTGCACACATCATTTTGCCGTCCCATTGGCCAGAATCTGGTTTCATGGTCAAATCCAGGCTGCAAGGGAGGCTGGGAAGTGCAGTCTATTGGGGGCAGCCAGGAGCCCAGCTGAAATTGCTATTGCCTGGAAGAAAGTGAGAGGGATGTTGGAGATAGCCAGTGACCACCACCTGAAGACTGACAGAGCTCAGATTTAACACCCAGACCCCTCCTTAAGGGTTGAAGGGTTGTGGATACACAGTTGGAACTAAGATAATATTTAATTCATTCACTCATTCTACGAATATTTGATGGTGGGGTATCAAAAATAATGAAGTGAAAAGATGGAGTCACTACCTTCAAAAAGTATTAAACTTGATTGGTGGTTACTAATTGGTAACCACCTAGGAGAGCACGTGAGGTGTAGGGGTGCAGCAAGAGAAGAGAGAGAGTGTGAAGCTGCTCACAGGGAAAGATGGGAGACTTAGAAGGGGTCCTACCCCCAGTGCCTTCTGGAGAAAGACCAGACAGGAGTTCAAAGCTGAGGGTGATCACTGAGGTTGAACTAATGAAGCTGAGCATTCAACCCATAGTTTTGTGAGAGGCACAGATGCCATTCTTTTTTTCAAAATAACATTAATAAAATTTCTGCTAATATACTTTTTTGTGTGCAAACCCTCAATGTTCTACATTAAAGCGCAAGCCCTCATCTAAATTTTATTATACTACCACAACTTTTTTCATTGGTTATTTGGGAGCAAAGTGTGTTCAATTAAAAATATCCATTGAAGATTGTCTGTGTGCTAAGCACAGAGCGTAAGCAAGTTAGATATTTTCTGCCTTAGTCAGCATGTGGGCTTGGTTGTCATCAACTATGCAAAACTCAGAAGAATTATAGAAGGACAAATATTTACTTTTACGTTAATTTTCTAGCTGGTAAACAAAATGGAGTTTTTCTCACTTGACACCTTCATGATCTTGTGATCTTTTCTGCACTGGAGTGATAGAACATACCAGAACCTATGGAACACTGTGAAGGCAATTCTAACAGGGAAGTTTATAACTATGAGTGGAATAACTTGTAATGCACAAACTCCCAACAAAGCCTGGTTACTGGAATTAAGATTTGACTACTATCATCAGTCACTTCTGAGTTACACAAAAGATGCAGGTGCAGGTTATTCATGGATTCGGCTGTAAGGAAACACAAGTCAGTTTCCAGAAATGCTGTAAGTTTGTGACTTCAAAGGGAAACATCTGTATTTCCTTTTCCAAAAAATACTCTTAGCCTTAGGCTGGGCCCCGTGATCCTTAGAGACTTACACAAGAGGGTGGTATAGTCTTTTGTCTGGCAGAAACTAATTATTTTGAATGACTGAATCTAAGCATCTTTATTTAAAAAATACTTACCTAGAAATATATGTGTAGTGCTATAAAAAGTTTTTAAACAGGAAAATATCCCATAACCCCACCATTTCTAGAAAAAATGTTTACCTTTAGTTTATTTATTTATTTTTTTATTTTTTTAAATATTTATTTATTTATTTATTTTAGTTCTCGGTGGACACAACATCTTTGTTTGTATGTGGTGCTGAGGTTCGAACCCAGGCCGCACGCATGCCAGGCGAGCGCGCTACCACTTGAGCCACATCCCCAGCCCCCTACCTTTAGTTTAAATAAAAATATCTACCTTTAGTTTACCAATATGCATTTATTGGTTTATACCATTCTATTTCCTACATCACCTTCTGTTTCTACATGTTATTTAGTGTGCACCTTTTAACCATTGTAGATAAGGCTTTGGTCATCTCTGTGTTTGGCACACAAATCTTGGATCATGATGAAGAATTTTAGAGATGGGTCACAGATAGGGGTGTCTTTTGCTTTTTACCTTTCCAAAAGGTTGGGCAGATCTACATTGCTGTCAGCAGCACATGAAGATCTGAGTTATGACCAGCTGCACTAACCTATGTGTTCATTTTGCTAAAAAGTCCTAAAATACCTACCATGATAATATTTGTTTCATTTGATAAGTATTTGTTTCAAGTTTAATACTGGGTACTGAAAATATAACAATGTGGGAAATCCTGTCAGGTGGGGAGCCAGAATTTTAATCCTACAGTTATGTCATCAAATGTAAAACCCCTACCATGATAGGTACCATGGAAGAGAGGCACATGAAACTATATGCACTTTCCTGTGGAAGTTGGATTTTGTCAGGAGGTCCCATGAATTTGAGTATCCATCCACATTACTGCAGGCGCTTCTATAATCTGTTCCCTTTGTTGGGAACACTCTTCCTAGTTATTTCTTCCTCCCTTGTTTACAATTCAGCCCCTTGAGGTTTCTTTGTCTTTGCTCCTGATGAGGTTCAAAAGCAAATCAAAGATCTGGGGCGGAGGGGGGGGGGGAACACCATTTATACAGAAAAGGACTTGAAAATGCACTTCTCCCAAATTGTGTGACCTTGTGTGTGTGTGTGTGTGTGTGTGCGTGCATGAGCACATACGCACATATGCGTGTGAGCAGATCCTTCATGGATCTACATTCAAAGAATATATTTAATCACAGTAGGACTACTTGGAATGCTTTACTTTTTTCCTTTTTCTTTTTTTCTTTGAGACGGGATCTCACTAAAGTGCTTAGTGAAAAACCTCACTAAATTGCTAAGGTTGGCCTCAAACTGGGATCCTCTTGCCTCAGGCTCCTCAGTTGTTGGGATTATAGGCATGATCCATTGTGTCCACCTAATTTTTTAATTTAGTATGTTATTGTGGTAAAATATATGTCAACATAAAATTTATCACTTTAATCATTTTAAGTGTACGATTTAGTGGTATTAAACCATGTGGCATTATCATACAACCATCACCTCATCCATCTCTAGAACTTTTTCATCTTTTCAAAGTGAAACTCTGTACCCATTAGATACAAGTTCCTGATTCCCCCAATCCCTGGAAACCCCTGCCCTACTTTCTCTACGTGCTTTACTATTTTAGAAGCCTCCTAGGAGTGGCTCATACAGAAATTTGTTTGACTAGCTTGTTTTTGCATAGCATAATATTCTCACGATTCATCCATGTTGTAGCATGGGTCAGAATACCCTTCCTATTTAAGACTGAACATTATTTCATTGCCAGCACATACCACCTTTTGTATGTCCATCTACCCACTGATGGGCATGATGGGTTTTCCCACTTTTTGGCTATTACAAACAATGGTATTCTAAACATGAGTTCTCAGTTCAAATCTCTGTTTTCAATTTATTCAGAAATATTCCCAGAAGTGAAATTGCTGGATCAGATAGATGGTAATTCTATGATTGCCTTATTGTTTATAATGTGCTTTTTTCATGTACATTATGATCAAATTTGGTCTTTTCATCAGCCCTGTGAGTACGCATTCTTCTCTGGCTCCAGGAAGTGGTTTTATAGATTGGATACAAAATGTCCCTCAGAGGTCATGTGTTGAAGGTTTGGTCCCCAATGCAGTGATGGTCAGAGGTGAGGCTTTCGGGAAGTGAATTGGATCACCAGGACTTTGATTTCATCAGTGGATAAATCCCCTGGTGTACTCGTAGCTGATGGCATTGTTAGGAGATAGTAGAAACTTCAGGAGGTGGGGCCTAATTGGAGGAGTAGGTCATGGAGGTGGGGGGGGGAGTGGTGGGGGCATGCCCTGGAAGGGTATTTCTTATCCATGGCCCCTTTCTCTCTCTCTCCTTCCTGGTTACCTTGAGGTGAGCATGGCCTTCTGCCATGTTTCTGCCTTGCCACAGCAGTGAAGTCAGGTTACCTTAGACTAAGGACTCTGAAACCATGAGTCAAACAAACCTTTCTTCGTTAAGTTGGTTTTCTCAGGTATTTTGTCACAGTGACAAAATTGGAAAGATAAATAAAAGAGTATCCTGATCTCAAACTTGGCTTCCTCATTTATCATCACCATTAAGAATGATCCTAGGGCTGGGGATGTGGCTCAAGCGGTAGCGCGCTCGCCTGGCATGCATGCGGCCCGGGTTCGATCCTCAGCACCACATACAAACAAAGATGTTGTGTCCGCCGATAACTAAAAAATAAAAATATTAAAAATTAAAAAAAAAAAAAAAAAAAAAAAAAAAAAGAATGATCCTAATTACTTGTGTTACCTCCTAAAGACAATGTTTTCCTGATTGCAACCACTGTGGTCAGCTCCCAGGTTTCTACTCTCATCTGCCCTGACCATACTGTCCCTTGTCTGAGTAAGGATGGGCCCATTTCCCACTGCAAAGGAGCAGAGTCTGTGTTCATAGCACCAGTGACAAAGGTTTCTCCTTTCTCTTTCTGTCTTCTAGCTCAGACTCTGTCATCTGGACCATGAGGATCTGGTGGTTCCTGCTTGCCATGGGAGTCTATACAGGGAGCATAAACTCACAGGACACGTGCAGGCAAGGGCACCCTGGCATCCCAGGGAATCCTGGTCACAATGGCCTGCCTGGGAGAGATGGAAGAGATGGAGCAAAGGGTGAAAAGGGGAATGCAGGTACTCACCACTTGGTGGCTTTCTGCTGCCCTCCATTGATGCCGTCAACCCCTTATCACATCTGTTTATTCTCTGTGTGGTTTCCCAGTCACCCACTGAACCCTCATCATTCACATGTCAAACACTTATCAAGAGTCCTCTCATATCAGATTCTGTGCTGGGTGCTGGAATGGAGTGAGGACTGGACTGACATGACCCTGCCCTCATGGGCTTCTCCTCCACTGGGGATACTGTTTGTTAGCCATTGTCTCTGATATTATAAGGACATATTCAGTAGTATACAATGTCATCAATCTTCCTGCCTTAGCAACGGTTATGACACATCTTCAGTAACATGATGAGGCCAATAGAGAGAGCTGATGGCTAAATACAACAGTCCCATATTATTCAAGGAAGATTATGTTCCAAGACCTCCAACAGGTTTTAGCCAATGAGTGGCTAAAACCATAGATAGTACAGAATATTATATATACTATGTTTTTTCTATGCAGATATACCTATGAAAAAGTTTGATTTATAAGTTAGGAACAGTAAGACATTAATAATAGCTGATGATAAAATATAACATTTGTAACACTATACATAATAAAATTGCCAGCATCACTACTCTTGCCCTTGGAGGACATAAAATAAGGGTTACTTAAATACAAGAACTGTGATCCTGAGACAGTCAATCTAATAACTTAGATGGCCACTAAGTGACTAATAGGCAGGAAGCACACACAGGGTAGAAAAAGGGATGATTCACATTCTGACCAGGATAGAGTGGGATAATGTGAGAATTCATCCTGCTACTCAATATGTCATGCAATTTAAAGCTACACATTGCTTATTTTTATATGGAGGCCTGACGATTTATTAAGTGGGCGGGGTGAGGCTGAAGTTTACCAGGAAGCAACTTTATTCCTTTCCAACAACCACCACGCAAATATACTCTGTGAAGTCTTCTCTTGGATAATATCTCTGGAAAATCCATGCTGTTTTAGTCACATTTAGTCATTAGACCTTTCTGGGTAGCAGAAAGTCCAGTGCAAGTTAATAGGAAAACTTAAGTCTTAATGAACCCAAGTATTTTACCCTCCCAGTGGAACCACAATGGTGTGTTTGTTTTATTTTTTAACATAATGGGGTTTAAATTTTTATTTTAAAATATTTTACATACACAAAAGAGATGGATGATACATAAGAAGGAGTAAGATAAAACATACAACCAATACCAAGTTTCTTTCTTCCCTATTGAATCTCTTGTATTTTTTCTTCAGTTGTATCCATTCTTTCAAGTTTTACATGTTTCTTAGAAGTATATATGTTTTATATATTTTCCATATATATATATATATATATAATATTGTATATAACATTATTTCTTAGAAAAATATTTAATCATATTGCTCACGCTAACAATTCACATACTCTTTATCTTTCCCTTTTAAATTGTATGCTTTATAATGAATGCATGTTTAGCCCAGGAGTTATCCACAATTCAGATGTGCATTGATGAGGGTCCACATTCATACTTTGTTATTTGAGGTTCTGTGATCAAGAAAGTTTAGAGGTCACTGCTCGGGAGATTGCAAGAATTGAGAATTAAGCAGGGAAACAAAAGAGAAAGACTTATGGCTGGGGAGGGAGAGGAGAACAGGAAAGGAATTAATGTAAGGATGACTCCCACTTGGAGATCTCACAGTACCCAGGGCTTGCTTGGGAACATTGGCTCTGAGTTGCTTGGAGTCCCCCAGTCACCACAATTATGAACATCAGTGTCTCCAGCCACATATTTCTTTCTCATCCTTCTTTGCTGCTCATGTATGGCACATCTTACAAGTGGGTGCTTGGGAAGTGACCTGATCCATTATATAACTCACTCATCTAACACAGATAAGAGGCCCAGATGCTCACTCATGCCTGCCTCTCTCCACCCCAGGAGGGAGTGCCCATTGGGGGTAGACACCCCCAGCACTCTCCTCCGTACACCACCCATGGAGGCCAGTGGTCAGAAAAATACAGATTTGGAATTTCAACTCTTCTGTTTTCTTCTTTTCCACCTAGGAGAACCAGGACATCCCGGTGGCCCAGGGAAGGATGGAATGAGCGGGGAGAAAGGAGAACGAGGTCAGAAGCTGGCTTCCTATTAACCATGCTCTAATGTGGAACTAACACAATTTCACCATAGCTATTATGTGCTTGCTACTATGGATGAGTCCTTATATGGCTCTGAGGATGTCCCAACAACAGAGGCCATTCAGTTCTTGCTCTCCAGAAGCCCACGACGAGCACAGGGATCCACAAGCTTTTTGTGTAAAAGGCCAGATAATAAATATTTTCAGCTCTGCATCGTGTCTACTAAACTGTGCCATTGTCTTGAAAAGCAGCCATAGACTCTACATAAATAAGTGTGGCTGTGTTTCAGTGAAGCTGTGTGTATAAAGGCTGAAATTTGAGCCTCATAATTTTCACATATCACAGAATATTATATTTGACAATTTAAACCCATAAACCATTCTTAGCTTGTGGGCTGTTACAAAAACATAAGGACAGATTTGGTCAATGGGAGACAGTCTGATGAACCCTGACTTACTGAATAAGCACAAAGGAAGAAGAATTTGGACTCAGTGCATCTGGCCCCACTGTATGGAGAGGGTGGCCCTGGAATTGGGATGAATGCTGGCAGTTGGCAACCGATGGAGAGAAAGATGGTTCTCTGTATCTTGTTCTAAGTGTTTCTCATGTATTGACTCAGTGGCTTCAAGAGCCCTGTGAACTTGGAAGTATTACTGTCCTGATTTCATAGATGAGAACAGAGGTGTAGAAGGTTTATTCATTGGCCTGACATCCCATGAGCACAAGGGATGGAGATAGGATGGAGTCCTGGCATTGACCTCCAGAATCCATGCTTGCAACCACTATGTTCCATTTGGGGTGGAAGCAACTCAGAAGCACCAAGCATCTATAGAATAAAGAAAACCATAATACAACTGGTAGAATGAGCAGGCTGGGGCTGGATATTAGAGATGGATGAATGCCATACTCGAGACTTTACTTTGTGTCACAAGAAATTTCTTAGGGGGCATCACTTCACTAGGTCTGAGCAACTGTTAACTAAGTATCCTGAATCAATCTGCTGTTTGCAGTGCTGCCCTGCTCTGAAGAGTGTTTCTCTTAATGTTTGGCCTTTTTTCATGGTCAACATGGTGGACTTAGATGGTAAAGGGTTATCATTTCTCATTTAGGAGACAGGAGTCAAAAGGTGTTTTGTGTATGAGAGTGTACATGCATGTATGTGTGCACACATGCCTGTAATTTGGGAGTTAATTAATTTCTAAACCCTGAGCGGATACTGAACCTCAGCACTACTCCATCTCAATTAAATGTTCAATAACAGAAAAGCCAAAGTTGTTCACAAGGGAATATTTAACAAACCATTTCTTTTTTTCTCTTCCTCTATTCAGGAGCAGATGGAAAAGTTGAAGCAAAAGGCATCAAAGGTGATCAAGGCTCCAGAGGATCCCCGGGGAAGCATGGGCCAAAGGGATCTGTTGGACCCATGGGAGAGAAAGGGCTCCAAGGAGAGACTGGCCCTAAGGGGCAGAAGGGAGATAAAGGTGATGTGGGTCCCACTGGTCCAGAAGGTCTAACAGGCAATGATGGACCTTTGGGTCCCACTGGCTTACCTGGCCCTGTAGGTCCCATTGGCAAGCCGGGTCCCAGGGGAGAAGCTGGACCTATGGGACCCCAGGGTGAGCCAGGAGTTCGGGGAGTAAGAGGCTGGAAAGGGGATCGAGGAGAAAAAGGAAAAATGGGTGAGACTCCAGTCTTGCCAAAGAGTGCTTTCACTGTGGGTCTCACAGTGTTGAGCAAGTTTCCTCCTTCAGATGTACCCATTAAATTCGACAAGATCTTATATAACGAATTCAACCATTATAATGTGGCTACGGGGAAATTCACTTGCCACGTTGCTGGGGTCTATTACTTCACCTACCACATCACTGTTTTCTCCCGGAATGTGCAGGTATCTTTGGTCAAAAATGGGGTAAAAATACTGAATACCAAGGATGGTTATATGAGTTCTGAGGACCAGGCCTCCAATGGTATGGTCCTGGAGCTGAAGCTTGGAGATGAGGTGTGGATGCAGGTGACAGGAGGAGAGAGGTTCAATGGCTTGTTTGCAGATGAGGATGATGACACAACGTTCACAGGCTTCCTTCTCTTCAGCAGCTCATGACACAGAAGACTGTACATCTGCATCACCATTGGTCAGAATTAGCTTTTATAATTCCTTCAATTATTGTAATAATCTTTAAAAGGTGCAAATGGGAAAATCACTTGTAAAAATGGTTCTGTGTCACTTACAATATTCCAAAGAGTAAATTTTTAAATAGTTGCCCTGTTTTTTTTTTTTTTTTTTTTTTTTGTTGTTGTTGTTTTTGCAGTACTAGGGATCGAACTCAAGGCCTTGTGGATACAAAGCAAGCAATTCACTCCTGAGATACATCTCCAGCCCCTGTTTAATATAATTTATTTAATGTTTTTCATCATTCCCATGATTGGGGGAACCCGTCGCATGTTTCTGATAGGAAGAGTACTGCTACCACTCAGAGTTCTAAGGAGATGTATTATGATTTAGTGCTCATCTATGCTTCTGAGGACATCAGTGAGAAAGAAAAGTAAGCTCTGTGGTATGTCACTTGCCTGGCGTGTGTGAGGCCCTTGGTTCCATCCCCAGTATAACACACAAAAAATGCTTATTCCACTTAGTGCTGATAAGAGCTTTAGGCTGATGACAATGAAATCCCAGAAGGCTGCAGATACTTTGCTTACTTTCTAATTTAGGTTTTCAATGCTACTCAATCCAACTGTAATGTCCAGAGCCCAGGAGAGCTAAGGCAGTGGAATAGCTTATGGAGAGGCCAAGGAAGTCATCAGAGATGGGATATAAGGCAGAAGATTTACTCAGAAATGCTTATGGAGGAGATCTGGCGGTGATGGGCTTGACAGATGCTTTGCCAGAAAGACCAGAGGCAACAGGCTGGACAGGTGCACCTCTATTTTACATGGGGCTTCCTCTACTTTGCCAGAAAAATAGCACCTCCTATCTCTCACAAGACTTTGTCCAGGGACATCCTCTGGGACAAGCACTGCCCTCTCACAGTACTGTGATCTTCACTGGTGACCACAGGGGGAGGGATTTTTATAAGTTAGGCTACCGAAGCAGTGACATTATTAATTGGCTTAGTTTGCACTATTCCTTGTATTCCCAGCATCCCAAGGAGCAGCTGTCCTGGTGTGCAACAAAGCAGCTTTCTACAGATAACACTAACTTTCCCTAATTCCCCTCATACATAAAGGAAAGCCAGTGGACACTGGAAATGTTTACCTGGACATTCTGGCCAGAACTTGCTCTTATTGTTCCCTTGACTAGGCTTTTTGGGAATGGAAAGGGAAATATAGGGACATGATGTCCTCTTTTTCTTCTAAGGATAACACACCAATAAATAATTGTCCTGACTATTCATTTTCTAGGACTGCTACAACCAAGAACCACAAATTGGTGGTTAAAAAAAAACAAACAGAAATGTATGCTTTCATAGTTCTGGAGGCCATATGTTCAAGGCCATATGTCAGCAGACCAGGCTCCTTCTGAATATTTGAGAGAAGGCCCTTCTTTGGTGTGACCAGCTTCTGGTAGCCCATGGCAGCATTTGGCTTGTGGCAGCATCACTCCAATCTCTATCCCCACTTCATATGGTTGTCTTCTTTCTGTATGTGCATGTGTCCAAAATTCCCTCTTCTTACAGATTTCCTTAGGGTCTGCTTTAACCCAGTATGACCCATCTTAACCCGTTTATATCTGCAAAGACCCTATTTCCATATAAGGTCACATTTGCCACTATCATGGATTGGGATTTCAACATATCATTTTTGTGAGATACAATTCAATTCATTAACAGTATGCTCTCTGCCTCCCCCCCCCCAAATTAGGTACCCTTCCCATATACAGAAAATATCCCCCCATCCTAATATCCCCCAAAGTTTCAACAATTTCATCATCAACTGTTAAGTCCAAAATCTCACCATCAAATCATTTAAATCACTTATAGGAGAGGGGTAGTCTGTGATTTATCCTGGGGAAAAATATTCCTCCATCAGTAAAACCTATGAAATCAGACCAGTTATCTTCTTTCCCAATATAATGATGGTCTAGGTATAGAATAGATATTCTCATTTCAAAAGGTAAAAAGAGGAAGGAGAAAGAGCTTGCAGGTTCCAAGGTAGTCCAAAACCGTAGAAAAATTCCATTAGGCCTTTTCACTATTCAACTTCTAAAGATATTTTTTTCAGTACTGTGGATTGAACCTAACCAGGACCTTGCACTCTAACACTGAGCTATCTCCCCATCCCTAGTTTCAAAGGTTTCTTAATGATTTATGCAAGAGAAAAAAAAAGTTACTGGTTGTGGACACCAGTTACAGGGGTAGAGGAACAGGAGAGGGGTAAGTTTATTAAGAGAGTAGGTTAAAGGGAAACTTGTCCCTCAGACCTGTAGTGGACACTTGTTTAGACAAGTCCCTTCTATTTCCGCATCTTCCAGTAAAGGCACCCTACTGTCCGTATCCTAATGTGGAAAAGTCTTTCAGATGGTGTAAACTCTACACTGCTGGTTGGACATGGGATACAGGACTGGTTAAACAGAATAGCACCTCCTGACCATGGTAACAGTTGCAAGATGGCACTTGATCTGATCAGAACCAATGACGTTTCAATCTGCAACTTAGCTGGGCTTGCTAACCACAGACGTGCTCTTCTTTAGTTGAAATTAGATGGGGGAGGTTGAAGGCTTGAAACTCCTGGCAGCTTCTTACTAATCTGTAGAGCCTAAGAATGAAGCCAAACAGCTAGACATAATCTAGTTGCTGTGGTTTAAATGGGTTGCTCAAATTTTTTGTGTTGGAAACTTTATCTCCATATTCATATGTTGATGGTATTTAGAGGAGGGGCCTTTGAGAGTTGATTGGAATTATTATGAGGTCATGAGGGTGGGGTCCCTATGATGGTATTAGTGGCTTTCTAAGAAGAGGAAGAGAGACCTGAACTGGCACTCTTGCTCTTCCTTGCCATGTGATGCTCTCCACCATGTTATGGTACAGCAAAAAGGCTCTCCCAAGATGCTGGTGCCATGCTCCATGGATGTTCCAGTCTTTGGAACTGTAAGACATAAACCTCTTTATTTATAAATGACTGGTCTCAGGTAGTCACTTATAAGCGACAGAATATGTAGTAAGAGATCAGTTCTAATGGCATTGTTTGGGCCTCTAAATCCAGTTGTGCCTAAAGGCAGAGCCATCCTTGGGCTATTTTGTTGGGTGAGCCAACAAATTTTCTTTGCTTAAACCAATTTCATGCAGGTGTTGTCATTTCTATCACTTTCCTCTAAAAAAATTTTAAGTGGTCCCTATTCCAAGGATAGGGGAAGCATGATCATAGTGGGAAAAGCCCAAGACTGAGAGTTGATATATATGAATTGCTGATTCAGCCAGGATAAGGGATTTGAATTAGATGAGCTATTTAGCTTTTCTGTGCCCCTGATTTTTATTGAGCAATGAAAGCCAAACTCAAAAAAATTCACAGGGTCCCAATTAATTCTGCAATTAATTACATATACTTAAGTCAACTTGATATACTTTTCTATACTGAGAATTTAAACTGTATGTAATTATAAATTTTGCCTAAGCAAAAAAAGACTATTGGCAACCTTTGAGTTTGAAAGAATAATTCTTGGCATGAGTTTTTTTAGTACTTTACATGATCTTACTATAAGCACTGCTCCTCAGACCAAAAATATGACTTTTTGGATGATGTTTCACCAGGGTTTCCAGGTGGTGACAGTTAATTATGCACATAACATTCACAATTAATGTGTTGATTGTAACTTGTGTATGGTTCTAGGGTAGCTTCTAATCTCTGGGGTAAATACTGAAGCTTGGTCTTTTGCTTTTCGGTCATGAGAAGAGCAGTGTTGCTCCACCAAGTACTCCCACCATGACATCCTGTCTTACCACAGCATAAAAACTATGGGTCTGCCTAGTCAAGGACTGGAACCTCAAAAACTATGAGCCAAAATAAAATTTTCTCCTTGTGTTAAAACAAAAGGACTCAAGTTTAGTGCATTGTTTAAGCTATGGAATTTTCTACACCACAACATGGGACATGCCATTTGACAGAATGTGCCATTTGAAATTGGGATTGTCCTAGAAACCACAGGATTTACAGGTGTTCTATCTGTATTCAACCATCAACACAGTATAGGTGGTATGTTTGTTCCCTAGGGATGTGGGATTTTTCTGAATTATCACTATAAGCAAGCTGCACTGCTGTAGATAAAATATTTTAAAATTACAGTTGGCCTTACATATCTGTGGGTGCTACAACCCCAGATAAAACAAACCACAGATCAAAAATATTTGGAAAAACAATTTAGTCTGCAGTAAACATGTACAGTTTTTTTTGTTATGATTCCTTAGACAATACAGTATAACTATTTTCATAACATATACATTGTATTAGGTATCTTTAGTAATCTAGACATGATTTAAACTCTATAAGGGGATGTATGTAGATTTTATGCATATCCTATGCCATTTTATATAAAGGACTGGAGCATCCTCAGAGTTTGGTATCTGCAGGGGGGTCTTGGAACTGATGTCTCATGGATAACAAGATATGAATGTATTTGGTGACTATGCAAATAATAGAAATAATGTCTTTTATAATTTTTTTGTTTTTTCTTTTATTTATATTTCCTGTGGAACAGAAGGAGGATAAGGTAAGGCAAGTGAGGCAGACAGAGTGTGAAATTTAAGTAGGCACTGCTCTCAGTCCTAGTCTAGCATGTGCATGGCCCCTAGAGTGGATGCCTCCTTAAATTCCCACAAGACACCTCTTATTGCAGAATGATTAACTATATAGTCATTTTTTGAGCATGAATGTCCTTATTTTTTGGCAGCTTTGCATTTTTTCAGTTGCAACAATCCAGGCCTTTTTTCCCCAGCACAAATTCTGGTTTTGCTATGGTCCTAACGGTAGGAATACTTGCACCAACTCTCATCTAACTTAGGAACAAAATTTACAGACTCACATATGCATAAAGGAAAAAAAAAACCTTTATGACTAGCACATAGGAAAGATGTTCTTATGAAATTCTTTTTTTGTGGGACAAATATAGAAGACATGATGTAAAACATGCTTTAAAGGACTTCAAAAGATAAAGTAGACTTGGGGGAGTCTAATCTGTCATTTGCAATTATTTTTCACTGGTTGTCTGTGAATCTGGAACGCAGTTTTAACTAACTCTGTCAGGCTGTCTGAGACACAAGACACCTTGTTAACTTAGCACCAGTCATTATCCACTGAGGGAGCATGTAAGCTTAAGTGTTTACATTATAAATGGTGGGTACCCTTGCATAAAACCCATCCTGGGCTAAGGAGGCTGTCAGATCTGAAACACATTTTTCACTAAGATGATAAAATAAACATTTTTGACTAATATATTCTCTTTCTTTCTTTTAAATGATACATTTGCCATCATTTTGTAAGGGGCTGGTTGCTCTACAGGACATAAGAGCCGGCTGCCACAAGGAAACATGAGCCACTAAGAACCGATCAACTACTGATAATCTGATATTGATCAACATGGAGTTAGAAATTTGGGGATTTTTAAATAACTTTAAATCTTTGATTTAAAAAAGTAGAAAATGAAATCACAACTGAGCATATATAAACAATGAAATAAAGAATTTATAATTTTTTAGGAATTCTATAGGGATGGTCTTTTAAACCCAATTTCAGTTGTTATTTATCATCCCCATCATTATCAATTGGGATTTTTCTTCCTACCAGGATAAAGTGAAAATTCCATTTTGAGGGGCTGGGGATGTAGCTCAAGTAGTAGCGCGCTCACCAGGTATGCGCAAGGCATTGGGTTCTATCCTCAACACCACATAAAAAATAAAATAAATTAAATATATTGTGTCCACCTAAAACTAAAAAAAATAAATAAATATTAAAAAAAAGAAAATTGATTTTGAACCAAAATTTTGAGGGGGGAAGGGTGAGAAGTTGTCTACAGATTGTATGCACTTGGCTTTCACTCTGGCTTTCTGGAACTTTGGAGAAGTTTTCTGGACTGCTCAAAGCAAACAGATAATGTGAAAATGAGCAGAGCTTTACCCTAGGACAAAATATTCAGGATGAGATAAAGCTCTGAAGGTACTTCAGTGAAGAACTTTTTTTAAAAAAATGTGACAGTAAGCCAGGTATTGTGGTGCACACTGTAATCCCAGAGATTATGGATGCTGACCCAGAGGATGGAAAGTTTGATTCTTTCATTAGTTCACAGAAGACTCAATGCCCTCCCCATTTAGACACTGATTTATAGGAATCAGGCAGTATCTGGCTCCTGCATAAAGCTGCTGACTCATTCAGATGAGAAGCGGACAAGCTTGTCTTAGCAGGCTCTCCCTGCAGTCTACTTTCCTGGGTAATCTTCTCATCCCACTCCCAAATCCACCAAGCTTTACTTCTGTAGAAGGGTCAATTCTCAAAGGGCTGGTCTTGGGTTGATTCCTCATTCTGCACCCTATTCCACTGAGACCAGAGAGGCAGGTCTGTCTCTGGGCACTGTGATTCAGGGCTTGTCCAGGCACATCTGAGGCCTCCTTTTCACAGCCCCCTTTCTAACCACTGATTCCCCACCACTATCCATATTAGTTTCTCAAGGTTAAAAACACTTCCCTGTTAAACCCCCTTCGTTTCCTCCCTACCTACCCCTGTAAAGTAGACAATGAACCTAATACACACGTTCTTTTCTGCAGATGGGAACACAGAAGCTTAATAAGGTTAAGCTTTGGTCCTGGACAAGAACTTGGACCCTGAATCCAAATCTAGTGTGACTGCCATTCGTTTAGAGGGGGCTAGGGCTGTCTGAAGAGTTTCTCATGTTTTCCCAAACTAGCACCATCATTCTTCCATTTCAATTCCTAAGATCAGAATTTCCTATAGCCTTCCATCCCACAGCCCCACCTCTTTTCCTTTCTGTATAGTTGCTTGAAATTTTGGGAGATTCTAATTGATATTGTAATTCATTATAATTTTACGAGTCAAAATAGATTAGTCACGAATAGTTAATTCACTCAATTGCACACAATAACACGTGTAGTCTTAAACCATCTGTGAGAATGGATTCAAGATTGGCCAGACTGATTCGACTGCGTGCTATCTCTTGTGGATTCTTCCACAGGTTTTGGCAGTGAGTCATCCTGGAGAAGTAATCAAGAACTCACCTTGCTGCGACCTGTGTATTCCCTTCTTGCTCCTGGAAAAATTCAAATTTGTAAAGATTCTTCCCGCCTGGTTCAAGTCACCTAAGGCGGGATAAGTCCTATCTGTTCCTTACTTCAGACACACGGGGGCGCACGACCGCAGCGGCTGCGGAGAAGGTAGCGGGGCGACGCTCTTGCGAGGACGTACTCACGTCCTGAAGGCCTTTCGCCCTGATCCGGAAGCTAGGGCGTCGCATGGTGCGGCGTGGGCCGCTGCCTTGGAAACGAGGAGTAGTGCGCTCCCCACTGGAGCTGCGGCGCCCTAGCTACGGCCCTGGTCTGGGGGAAGAGGTTACTAAGAGTGCACGATGCTGTGTGCCCGAAGACTGGGCAGCCTAGCAGCCGGACTAGCGGCCCTGCGGCCGGGGCGAGCCGCTCGGGGCAGTCTCGGAGCCGGGATTCAGGCTCGAAGGGTCAGCACCAGCTGGTCCCCGGTGGGCGCCGCATTCAATGTCAAACCGCAGGGCCGCCGCCTGGACTTGTTCAGCGAGCGCCGGGTGAGCGGCGTGGGAGGGGGCTCCCCAAGTCCGCACGACCAGCAGCGTTCCGGACTAGGTCATTCGGGTCTTGGAGGAACTGGATAGCAAAACGTTGCACTGTGGGGTGTCTTTTGCCCTCTTGGTAACCTTGCTTGCTACCTCTTTGAGGGTCCTATTTAAAGGAGGATTGGCGGGGCAGTCTTTAGTGGCCCCTCCCTAAGTTGTGGGGTCCTGGAGCTGCGTCTGCGTGAGCAGCCTGTTACCACTGAATTTAAAATAGTCGGTTCTGGCGGTAGCAGTGAATTTGGTCTGCTGGTCCCGCCCTCTCCCCATACTCAGCCCCACCCCTGCTAAAGTTTGTTTTTGCTTCTAACCTACAGTAGTGCCTTATGAGGCTTTGCCCTGTAAGTTCACAGGTGATATCAGGTTGCCGTTTTTGCAGGGTCACACTTGTTTTCGGCCGCGTAAATTGTAATCCCATTGACCCCTAACTTCCATTACCCATTCATTTATCATTTCAAAGCTGTGTTCTTATATATATATATATATATATATATATATATTCTTTTAAAACACAGAACTCCTTTGAGACGAGCCTGATTTCTAGAGTTCTGTGGTTAGAGTTGATCACACTGATTTACCCTAGGAAGTCATTAAACTGGGTGGTTTTGGTTCTTATTTCTGTCTCCATTCTGCCTATCATGGTGTCTGACATTCAGCAGGTACTCCTGAATGAATGAATGAATGAATGAACGAACAAACCAATAAACGAATGAAAAGTCAAAGAAAGTCAAGCTTGAAAAGGACTTGTTTGATTCCTGTTTTACTTTGCATGTATAGATTTTGTTCATTTAGATTAAGGATCAGTTTTGTTTTTGCCTTTCAAAATTTCTTCGTTGTACTGTTGCCTTCCTTATAAATAGGAATCTAGGATATGTTTGCAGTGAACTTACTTGTATGTTTGTTTCTATCTTGTCCCCTTCATTAACTTTAAAATTCTTTTTGCATGATATTTCATATGGGTACATAATGTTGGTATTAGTTGGTTTGAGGAGAACTACCTATAATTACTGAATAGAAAGATGGAATGATAAGCTTCGTTTTGAATGGATGATATATATAGCTAGTTTTAGCTTTTTTTCTTTTGTGCGTTATGTACTGATAACATATTTTCTTTTGCCTCAAAAAAAAGTTTGTGTAGTTTTTATGATTACCTTGTCAGGTATTCCAAGATTTAGAATTCTTGAGAGCAATCTGGAAGATTGTACAGGAAAGCTTATTCTTTAATCAAATTAGATCACTGTAAATAATTAAATTTTTTTTGTTCCCATTCTACTCTGCCTCCAAATGTATTTTATTCGTTTTCTTCAATTTTTTTCATATTCTTGAAGAGAGTTTAACAACTTCATTCATCTCTTTTTGTGCAGACAGTGGGCTTTATCAGACTTGTAAGTTTTACAGTTGGTGTTTCCAAAAAATCTCCATGATATTAATCTATAAAGTTAAGCATCTGCTCCATTTGCTTGTTTCCTTCACTGAGTTCCCCTATGTGTTAGACATGCTATTGGGCATCTCATTAAAAAAATGAAGGTCAGAGTTCCTGTCTCTAGGAGCTCATCTTCTCAGAAGAGAAGACTTTCAGATATATAAATTGCAGTAAATTGGAAAAAATGTGGACTTTGCAGATGTAAAGAACAGGTACAAGTTCTGGCTTTCCCACCATCAATGAGTGGTCTCAGCATGTTTTTGCTAACCTAAAACATATTTGGGTATCTAAAAGGATAGTCATACTTCCTGCTCTAGGATTATGTGATTTAGATGAGAGACCCTACATAAAGTACATGGCACACTTCATGACATGTAATTGATGCATACTAACTGTTTGTTTTTTTCCCCTCCCTTCCTGAGAGTGTTAACTAGAATGTTTGAACTGGTATAAGAGAGTGGTCATTCCCAATATATTAGTGATTTTTGTCTTTTTAAAATACTGAAATGTCTTTGGAAAGTATAAATTTTGCTGCCAGTTTTAGTTTGTGATTTAGTTTAATGTGTTCATTAAGTTTTTCTGAATATTTACGTGCTTTATAATTAATTCATCCTCCCTATTTTATAATTGTAGAATAATTGATATTCTGTACTGAGACCTTACTCTATGCTAGGCATGATCATAAATACTTTACATATACTTTGTAATTCAGCATCCATATGCCTATTGTGAGAATAGGTACTGTCATCCTCATTGTACCTGATGAAGACATTGAAGTCTAGGATAAGAAATAACTTGGTCAAAGTTACAAGCTAATAATGATTATCACTAACATCAGGTAAGTGCTTTCAGTGTGCCAGGCACTGTTATAGTATTGTTTACAAGTATTATTTTGTTTAATTGTCCTGATTTGAAGCTACAGTGGTGACAGAACTGAATTGAACCCATATCATTCTATTTTTGTTTTTTATGAAAATTGAAGAAAAGTTAAATACTTAACATCTTCAGTCTAATCTTTGTGGAGTGACACAGGTAATGTGATGTGATAGCCACAGTGACAGGTATCATGATATACCAATGAAAACCAGGATTCCCTTCATGAAAAATGTATTTTTAGTTAATAAAAACCAATCATAACTTTGGTTTAAACTATACTTATTGTTTGGATTTAAGGGTCTTTTTGGAGTTCCTGAGCTCAGTGCACCAGAGGGGTTTTATATTGCACAAGAAGAAGCCTTGAGAAAGACAGAGTTGCTGGTGGAGCGCGCATGTTCTACCCCTCCTGGGCCCCAGACCGTGCTCATCTTTGACGAGCTCTCTGATGCTTTGTGTAGAGTGGCTGACTTGGTAAGACACTTTGTCTAAGACTTGAGACTATCTCTTTTTCAAATGATTAACATTTAAATAAAGTTTGTCCTTTGTTTTTTTAAGATTAATATTAGACTGAGCTTAAAAATGCCTGAAATTATTTGACCTCTGTTGGGTATAAGTTATGTTGAAGTATGACAATGGGAATGGGGAAAATATATAGGAAAGGTGATATTTATAATCTACCATGTATATATGTAATAAAATATTCATGTAATATGTAATAAAAGAATGATTACTAATACAGCAAAGATTTTTTTTTTAACAAAGGTCCCTTATTCATGAAAGCTTGTATCAAAATTCTAATGGAATCTTTTTTTGTACATTTATAACATAAGTCCCCTTTTTCATAAGAGGAATAAAATTTTTTTATAAACCTTTCAGTATTGCCTTTTCTGATGTCAAACCAATTATTTTTAATTACATTTTAAAATTGAAATAGAATTACCACTAGATCTTTTCATCAACTGAGAAACCCAGTGCTGAGAAAAGTGTGATTTTCTCTCAGCCCCAAAACGTCAGCTCTTGCTTAGTGAAGGTGATTAGTGGTACACATAATCTAAATTTATGATCATTCATGATTCAGTCTATGTGATATTTAACTATATACCTCTTTCCTCACATTCACTCAATGCTGAGCTGAATACTATACTATGAATACAGTTATGAACACAACAGACACAATCTCTGGCTAAATGGAGCTTATATTCTGGTGTTTCCTTGTTTTCAGATCTTACTAGGTAGACAGTAGGCCCAGGTGATAGCTTTACCTGGATAGCTTTACCTCTCAGCATATCTCCACCCACCCCTCATCCTTACCGATGGCAACCCCTAATCTGTTCTCCATCCCATTTCTAGAATGGCATGTAAATGGAACCCAGTATACCTTTTGAGACTATCTTCTTTCACTCAGCATACTTCCTCATTTTTTGGTTATTTTTCTTTTTTAGAAAATTTCTTTCCTCCTCTACATTTGAATTGAGCAGTAACACATTTCAGATGATTATATACCACTATAATAGTCATAGTTTTAAGAAAATTGATAAATTATCATATTTTAAAGGATCTTCCTCAGGAATGAAATTTGGGGCTCTGAGTAGTCAGTTCTCAGTTCAGTTATACTGGGTTTTCTTCATCTCCCTCTGGTACATGCATAGGACATGTTTCTTTGATGCTGGAGAAGCTGTGGAGATGCACTGCCAGAGGAGCCTTATCCATCTAATTGTTTCATTGAAATCTGAAAAGGAAAATGTATGTTATAGATTTTACTTATATATATCGTCAAAGGTTGGCTTTGGTAGTCAGAATCCTGGAATTCACTGTTTATTTTTTGTCATAGTCTCCATCTTAATTAAGCCGTGTTCTAGAATTTTACTCTACATTTTTGTTTTTGCTTTTTACTAAAAGATTTTGAAATTTCTGCCCTATATCTTGTCCTGTCTTGAATTTTAAAAAAAAATATTTGTAATGTATAATAGTACCTCATTTTAAAAACTTTTAAAATCTAGAACATGATTTATATGCATAAATCTTAGTCAAATAATTCAAAGACTGTTTTTCCTTTTTAAATTTTTAAGATGTTACTACTTATATGATCAATATCATTGTAGTAAGGCAATAGTTTTATAAATTCTCAGCAAATGGTCATTTTGTTATTCTTTTTTTAAAACAGTTTTTATGTAATAGAATTCTTTTCCTCAACACTGTTATAAATAGACTTTTAAAATGTGTGCTAGAGTTTTGATTTTTAATATTGTAACTTCTGCAACATGTAGATTTTTAATTTATAAAATATGTTGTAAATTTTACATAGCTTATTTTTCAAGTGCTTTAGTATAAAATATTATTTTATTGTTCCCTGTTGTTACAAAAGATGTATCAAACTATGGATTTAAATGTTTCTGCATTAAAAGTTATTTGATAATAAAATTAGGAAATTTTACTTTGTGGTGATTTTATTTCATGTTAGAGCCATGCACGTCATTTTGGAGAATAAAGAAAGTATGTAATATTTTGTAGTTTCCGTGCATTTCATTTTCTATTGCAATGACTGTAGTTATCATGAAAACTCAAATCTAGTTTTACATGATTTCATTTTTTAAAAAAAATTTGTGCTCATTTTAACTCTAGTGATTAACATAGCAGCAGCAGTTGTCATTGCATGCCATATTAAATGGGGTCAGGAATTCATATTTTACTAAAAGAGCTATAAAGAGAATGTGTCTTTGTTTTCTGCACAAAGACTAGAATGTGGTTGTTGGTTTTAAGATTATACTATGTGTTGAATATTTTAAAAAGCACCTCTCAGTTATTCTCTGGGGCCAGGTTAACACATGAGAACCATATTGCAAACAGTTTTAGTTACAAAGTTTTAGCATATTTGAAACCAGGGTCTGTTCTTTTGAACTATAGGATTAGGAAGAATTTGTTTGGTGTTCATTTGAGAGAAAAACTTCACTAAAATCAAGTTCATGGAAATATTTTCTTTGGAATGAAACAAACTTGGTTCCAAGGAATAACAGAATTAATAAATGTCTAGAAAGAAGCTGCTTTGCCATTCTAGTTGAGGGAAAATTCAGTAATGGAAATGCACAGGTTGAGCCAAATGGCACATTTTGAAACAGGTTTTCATTTTCACTCTCAGATCTTGGAAGCCAGGGATCTGTCACATTCGCTTTTGGTTTTGTCTTTTTTCCTTTATTAGGCTGATTTTGTGAAAATTGCACACCCTGAGCCAGCATTCAGAGAGGCTGCGGAAGAAACCTGTAGAAGTATTGGCACCATGGTAGAAAAGTATGTGCTGTCTTCTCCACTCCGGTGCTGGGAGATACGGTTTCATGGATTTGCGCTTCAGGCAATTTTGTGCATAGTGCTTGTCTGGGTTCTACGGGGTGGGAAGTGATGTGTGAGTGTGTGACCACTGGGCAACTGTCCAGAAGGTTGGAGAAAGGGAGGGCTCTGGGAGCAGGTTCACCTCCCAGTCAGTGACTTTGGCTAGTTACTTATCTCCCCTCAGTTCCTTTCCTTTTCTGTAAATGGGGTAATGAAGTCAATCCTTCCTTTTAGGCTTGCTGTGAGGATTGGATAAGATAAATGTAAGTGCTTATAAGGTGTCAGGTACATAGCAAACACCCAGTAACTTTCATCATCATTATTGTTTATGTTAAATAAGGGCATTTTAGTATCTTAGTGGCAAATTGGAGTTCCTAGATTATCACATGATTAAATTGCTGTTGCATAAATGGCTAGGGGCCATAGGGTGAGAAGCCAAAATTACATATACACAGTGCCCTTGCAGTCCTGTTGAATTGGGATTAGGAGGGCCTTAAGGGGACTATAAAACTTTGTGGGAGGGCTGAGGCAGGCTGAAAGCTGAGGCTATGATGAAGTGAGTTTTTAAAAAGTGATTTTGAGGTAAATTGAAATGTTTTTAAGCCATTTATGAGCACTCTAAAGTGCTTGTTAAAATAACTTAAATGTGGACAGTGCTATATTCCAAAGCACTTAGGTGCAAGATACCATGTCAGATGTGTATAAAGCTAAGCTTGCCTGACATGAATTTACTTAGGACAGGAAAACAGGGCCCAGGCAACATTGTTAAGACTGTTTCATAAAGCAAAAATTGGGGGTTGGGGTACTTTCTCCATTGAGATGAAAGTTGGATGGTAGACTCTTTCCTCCTGAGCTTTGGCTAAGAGCAGGCTGGCTACATGGGCAGTGGTTTATTAGTATGAGTAGTGTACTCAGGTACACACATGATCTCACTTAATCCTTACAATAACCTAAGATCTAAATAATTTGCCCAAGGTCACAGACCAGTAGTAGGGACTGATCTGCATCTGGATGTGGCAGTAAAGCTTAGGTCCTATGCTTTCCTTTCCAGTATAGGTCTGCCACTCCCACCCAGGTGAATACAGGAAGTTTAGGTTCAGAGTGCTGAGTTCAGGACTGGAAAACCTGTCCATTAAGCCTCCTGCCAATCCTTACTCCTTTCCTCTTATTAAAAAAGAGATAGGCATGGGTATTTCTCTCCTTGCTTCTTTTCTATGCTTTTTGGGCCTAACTACTGACTATGGATTTGAACTTACTCTTTTATATTGTAGGACAGTGAATACCTTTGACATTTTACCTAACAGACTGCCTGCTTCTATACTATATAGTTCTGTTACTAATAAGGCTATTCCTGGTCCAAATAAAGGAAAGGGGGGGGGGACTAAATCTACCCCCAACTTTTAACCTCTGGGAATGGATATGTTACAATCTCATATGGTTTCTTTTTTTATATAGCGAGTAAAAAATAAGATTTAAGAAAATCAGTGATTTTTTTTTTCATTTTTAATTTTTTCTAGGTTGAACACAAATGTGGAATTATATCAGAGTTTGCAGAAATTACTATCTGATAAAAAGCTTGTGGATTCCCTTGATGTAGAAACCAGGTACTCATTCCTTTGCATTTGTTATGACTGTGACTCTAGTGGTAAAGCTGAGAGTTTTCCCCTTTGGAGTATCCTCTGCACACATAGCTCCCTGCAATGTTCCTCCCCATATATCTCCATGACTCCTGCAGTTTTTGTAAGACTCTACTCAAATGATAGATCCTCTTCCCACCAGGTCAGGCCCCATTCTCTTATCTTGCTTTATTTTTCTTCAATGCCCTAGTAATTTCCATCAGCATCTTATCCATTTGTTTATTTATCATCATTTTACCTCACTAAATTTGGTTCACTGAGGCAACATGTAGTAGGTATTTCACCAATGAATGAATGAACTATAAACATTTGATAATTACGCTTACCTTTATGCTTAAAGTTCCATAATTGATACCATTGGAAGATATTAGCAAATTGATTTATTTACTGTGGATATCAATATCTTTGAAATGATTTGCTTTTTGGTTCATTAAATTACTTTATTAGCTAGATGCATGGCATCTGCCTGTAATCTCAGCTACTAGGGAGGCTGAGGCAGGAGGATCACAAGTTTGAAGCCACTGTGGGCAGCTTAGTGAGATCCTGTCTCAATAGAAAAAAGAGGATATAGCTCAGTGGTAGTGTGCCACTGGGTTCAATCATCAAAAAAAAAAAAAAAAAATACAGATTAATAAATATGAATCAAAAAGTCAAATTTCTAAGTCAATACATAAGAATATTTGATATATGACCTTGGATATCTCAGTTTTTTGGTCACATTTGTTTATAAAATAAGTATAATATGGTTTGTCATTTATTTGCTCATATTTGGATCATAATGTACAGATTTTTGTTTTTCACCTTATTTGGATCTGCTTATCTTTTTTTGTTTTTTTTTTTTTAAATGGGACACTTATTTCCTTTGGCTCCAAATTTTTCTTTCTCCTGCTTCTTTCTTCTTGTCTCTCTATATGTGGCTATGATTCCCAACTGAAGCCCTATTCCACAGGGACCAGTTGGTAATGGAATCTTGCTACTCCGTGCAGAGTGTGAGTACTATGCAGTATGAGTAGCAAAATGAGCTCAGCGTTTGGTGGCTTATTTTCATCTGACTGGCAGGTATGCCGGTACCTGACCTTGTTTTACTTCATTGATCCTGGTAGCTCCATATACTAGTAAAGTTAGCTGTGTTGTCAGAATATTTGGTTTCATTATAATTTTAGGCTTCAGCATTATATTTGCCTTCATTAGTAAAACAAGTAAAAGTTGAATACCTATTAATGGTGCCAGATTTATACTTTATAAAGTAACAATGAAGAATATTAAAAATAAGATTATTCAATCTGATTTTTTTAAAAAAATATTTTTTAGATGTTGATGGACCTTTATTTTATTCATTTATTTATATGTAGTGCTGATAATTGAACCCAGTGCCTCACACATGCTAGGCAGGCATTCTACCACTGAGCCCCAGCCCCAGCCCCTTCAATCTGATTTTTACTGAGGTGTCAATCAGTTTAATTGCAGACTATCAGACCGTCTTACATGCAAAGGACTTTTACTTATAGGATATATTCTATATTTCTAGATGTTACTAAAAAATGCTGATAGGAACTTTCAAATAACAAAATGACAAATACATTGGGAAGAATAAGCTACATGGAATATCAGTATAAAAAGGAAAAGCTTTGAAAGTGGGAGAAGGCTAGAATTTGAATAATTAATGAAATATCATGACACTTGCACATCAATCAGATGTGTTAGCTGGCAACCAGAAAGAACTACATCCTAGTTTTTATGCATTGTAAAGTATAAGTATAATGGCTAAAACAGAGATTTATTGATTTAATAAAGTATCTTGTCATGATAAGTTAATGTATAGAAAGAATTATTCGAATTGAGTAGTTCATTATCTTACTAGATCCATTCCATGAAATATTAATTCTATCAGATATTCAGAACTTTTCTTAGAAGGGTTTTCTTGGTCCATAAGTTTGAGAATCTGACATTTGTTTCCCCATTGGAGAATTTTAATACTTTAGAGTCTCTGAGAACCCAACCACAAAGAAACTTGTTTAACTTGGGACTTTCCAAAACCATATAGTCTGTATGCAAAAAACATAGAAACTCACTTTCCAGACATGGAGGGAAAACCCCAGCCACAATAGCAACAAAAGCTATAATTTACTTTGGAATTAACTCCCAAGGTCTGTGCAGAACCTGAACCTGGCATGGGTGCTTGTGCATGGACCCCTCCTTGTTCCCCAGTATGAGAAACAACTGGGAGAAATGTTCTTAGATAAGAAGGAAGAAAGTTTAATATTGTTCTCTACTGACCTGTAAGTTTAGTGCTCTTGTTTCTATATCTAAAAGAGACTTCATTGTTTTTGTTACTTAAATTATTTTGAAGTCTTAGAGAATAAATATGAAAGCATAGGTAAAAAAAATTACTTAGAAGAGCATTATACATAAGCAAGTCAATAGTCTATTAGATCAATGAAAAGCAAAATTTCAGACACGTGTAAGACTATATTTGGTATATGATAGAGGTGCCATTGCATATTAGTGTGAAAAACTTGGTTTTCAGTAAATGAATAAGCATTTTGGGGAGGAACAGTAGATTGATTAAAGATTAAATATTTTTAGAAGAAATCACAAAAGCATTGTTAATCCTGGGATGTGGAAGATCTTTCTTGGTATGATACGGAAGAGAGAAGACTGATGGATTTAATTACATAAAAATTGCAGATTTGGTGTGGCAGAACTGCATTTAAAGTTAAAATACACAATGAGACAAATGTTACTTACATGACAAAGGGTTAATTGCATTTAATTATGTTGAGACCTTACAAATTACTTGGTGATAAAAAGCAAGAAAGCCAGCCATCTTATAGAAAAATGAGCAAAAAATTCTTTTGAGACTTTCATTTCACAAAATAAGGGATAGCAACACATGGTAAAAAATGTCTAGAGCATGGAGATGTAGCTGTGGGATTAGACTGTCAGAGTCGGGTATTGACTCAGTAGTTCTCTAAGCCTTAGTTTTATCCTTCCTTGGACAGGAATAAAAAAGCATGTCATAAGATTACAGTGAAGTTTAAACGAAATAATTCACGTAAGTGCTATGTTCAGTACATGGCATCCAAAAAATGGGATCTGCCATCATTGAAGAAAGGCAGAATAAAGCAAAAAGCCCATCAGTCAACAAAGTTGAAACAGAATAAGAATAGTGATGTTAATGGGCTGAGGTACAAGGGTTCCCTCTCTAGTTAAATGTAAACTGATAAGTCTTTAGGAAGGACAATATGGTAATATATGTCAATGTGTGTATTTTTTGATCAGTTTAATTTCTTGGAATTTATCCTAAGGAAACAAACAAAGCTAAAGACACGTACTTAGCAGGAGTGGGAAAAATGGGAACTATTTTTAGTCCATAGAACAAAACACAAATTTTTAAAGTCATCTTTTTGAAGAATGTTTAATATAGGGAGATCTATTCATGTTTGTGATGTGTTTTTAAAGTTTTTTATTAATACATTAAAATTATACATAATAGTGGGATTCACTGTGACATGTCCATTCATGCACATAACATAATTTTGTTAATTTTAATTCCCCAGGATCTCCTGTTTCCCTAACCTGCTACCTCCCCCTTATCTCCTTCCTCTAGTCTCCTGACATTCTTTATATTTTCATGAGATCCCACCCCCTTTTTTGTTTATTTTCTCCTCTAGCTTCCACATATGAGAGAAAACATATGACCCTTGACTCTCTAAGTCTGGCTTATTTTGCTTGACCCTCTCAAGTTCTGTTCATTTTCCTGCAAATGACATAATTTCATTCTTTGTGATATAATTTTACAAGAAAAAGACAAATACAAACGCGCGCGCGCGCGTGTGTGTGTGTGTGTGTGTGTGTGTATGGGTCTCAATTATTCTAAATAAATAATATAGCGTATTGAAAGTAGATTGAGGCTAGGATATGGCTTAGCAGCAAAGTGCTTGCCTTTTATTTGCAAAGTCTTGGGTTTGATCCCCAGTTCCAAAAGAAAGCAGATTGGATGGAAGTACAAGAGTTTTAATAGTGGTTATCATTGGCGGGATTAATGCTTTTAGTACATAATTTCTCATACATTTCTATAATAAAGTAATGTATAATAGAGTAAATTTATCTGATCAATTCCCATTACCAGTTTATCAGCCCTGCTATCTTTCTTCTCTCTTATTAAAACAGAAAATTTATTGTATAGTCTTGAATTTCTATAATATGGGACTCTTGTATCTTAAATTATTGTTGCTTAAAGTTAATAAATTCAGGTTATATTGTCCTAGAAAAAACCAACAGAAAATTACTTAGAGAGGGCTAGGTTCTTAGGTGGACTGTTTAGAAAGAGAGAGGAAGGTGGGCTTGAGTGAAGCACTCTTACATTATTTAAGAAAGAATATAAGTGACTACATTATTAGTTTTTAGAATTTCAGAGGAACTTTAATTCTGATTATTTAAAATATCTCAGACACATTAATCAGGAAGATAAATATATCTCTTTTGAGGCAGCCAAAAGAGTATATCAAATATTTAGCTGGCCTATCTCCAGAAAAAAAGCATTAAAAAATATATTGTTGACAGAAAAAGGCATTACAATTGAAATCCGTTCCAAACAAAAAGCAGGATTAGAAAGAAAGAAAACAGTTTTCCTCAGCCAAGAAACTTGGCTTCCGGCATAGCATCAAAGAATTGAACATTCGAAGTAGCTGCTACTATTTGGAAGAAAAACCGAAAATCTCATGCGAAGGGCCTTTGAAAAATCATCCAAGTATAAACTGTTTTATGTTTTTAATTTTGGGGATTTGGATGAAGTTGAAATAAATAAGTAATTATGATGGTGACTTTAACAGGTTTGCACTGAATAAGGGAATAAGCTCTTACATGACAAGCTAATGATACTTATCAGTCAGCTAGATGTTTTTTCTGACTTCTGAGATATTAAGCTCCTTGTTTAAAACAGATAAATTATGTGTGTGCTTGTATGTGTGTTGAAACAACTTTTGGCAATAGGTTTTAAAAGGGTTGATTCAACGATGACAATAACAACAAAAAACCCACTGATTTTTGCTAATAAATTTTATTAATGATTATAACCTGGACTCTTTTATATTAGGCGAGTGGCTGAACTATTTATGTTTGATTTTGAAATCAGCGGGATCCATCTAGATGAAGAAAAGGTAAATCTTTCCTCTGTATTTGATACCTCTTGTTTTACTAGCATTTATAGTTGACATCTTTGTTTCAGAGTGCTTATTTAGTGCTTGAATATTTATATTACAGAAACGCTCAGGTCAGCGGGGCTGGGGTTGTGGCTCAATGGTAGAGTGCTTGCTTTGCACGAGTGAGGCTCTGGGTTCGATCCTCAGCACCACATAAATAAATAAATATTTTTAAAAATGCTCAGGTCATTGTTATGGAATTCTCCCATAGGCTGTGTTTGAATGTAGTGCTCTCTGGAAGCTGGGCTATCACAATTAAAAATGGCTTGAGACAGTTGGGATGCTTGAGATGTCATGGAATTAGGGTAAGATGCGCAGTATCAGAAAAGATCAGCAAGCAAATAGGCTAAATCATTGACAGCCGAAAGTACAGGGGATTTCCTTAAGTGCCTTTATTCACATTGCCCATGTTTTTGACAGATCCACACACTTTTGTTCTGGCAGCAATAAGTGTAGGTCACAGTGTTTACACTGGGATGAAGGGCTTGATACATTGTCCAGACCTCTTGTTTTACAGATGTGGAAACAGGACAAAGTGATTTGTTCAAGTTCTTATCCTTAGTTCCCAGGACTTCTCTTCCTGGCCACTGCTCTTTCTAGAACATGACATCCTAAGAAACTGAGTGCTGCATTTTTTTTCTTTAAAGGTAACAATGTTTTTCCAAATAAATATAGTATAATTAAACCATTTACTTAAGAACAGATTAGTTTATCAGGATGTCTTTGAAAGTAAATGGCAGTCTTGAGGATATACCACTAGCCCTCCATATTCATGGGTTCCACATCTGGATTTAACTAACTACAGATGGGAAATATTCAGAAAAATAATTTCATCTATACTGACATGTATAGACTTTTTTTGTCACTAGCCCCCCCCCCCAATTCAGTGTGTAACTACTTAACATGGCATTTACATTGTATTAGGTGACAGAGATGGTTTAAAGTAAATGGAAAAATATACATAAGTTCTATGCAAATACAATAATACCATTTTATATAACGGTCTTGAGCATCTGTGGACTTCGGTATCGGTGGAGGAAAGGGGAGTATCTTGGAACCTTCCCTTGTGGATGCTGAGGGATGATTGTATATAATATACAATAAATTCTGTCATTTTGATAGGCACTGGGTTTGAATGTTAGTGGGTCCACACACATGTCTGGTGTTTTTATGTAGCTTCAAGGACTTTGCACCTGACTCTTGGTCTGACCCTGAGCTGGGATGTGCTTTCCCATGAGGTCACAGGTCAATGGGTTCTATAAATTCATAAAGTAAACACCTTTGCCCCTCTCCAGACCAGTTATTTATTAGTACTTTTCTATACTAGTGATATATACCATATTCTCTGACTCACTTGGAAGAAAGTTTCAGAGGCAGTTTGCATTTTTTCCCGTTCTAGTACTCTCATATCTTAATTAGTAACCAAGTCAAATTACCTTGACTAGATAATTGCACTGGCCTACAAAGGCTTTGTCTTCCTAATTGTCATTATAATTTATATCACCTGGGCTTTGCTATATTAAAGCATATGTTTCACATCATATCTTCCTGATAACTTTGAGAATGGTACCATTATTTCCGTTTTATTGATAAAAAACTGGTGAACCTAGAGTTTGTGGGAGGCTATTATGTAAAGTCATACAGACTCCTGTAGGCATGCTGTTGCTCTGTCTAATCTACATCTGAACATTAAGAATCTTTTTTTTAAAGCATCAATTTGTTAGATTCTCCCACCGAGAACCTCTCAGTGCTTTCCTTTGTTTAGTGCTCCATTGCAGCTCATCACACCTGTCTTCCGTCTGTGTGTTTGTGTGGTGTGGGGTATGTCCTCCTCCTTGCCAGGTTTGCCTGGCTAAAATCCCCTGGACATTCATCTTCAGGACATATGGTCTGTGTATCAGTTCCCCAGGTGGAATTTTGTATTCATCTTAACTCATTTTACTTGCTTCACTCATATGGCATGTATCCTTATTGCATATAGGCATTTATCTGCCTTTTATTGAAGTTGTTACTATTGCATCACTTATCTCTAAGGCTTATCAAAGACTGAGAGCATACATCATGATTTTTAATGTGTAACAATTTTAGACTTAGTGAAATATCAAATCACTGAGTCATGAATCATTGTAATGCTAGCTAACATTAATTGAATTTGATATCTTCAAAAGGAATATCACTAGTAGAGATCTTTATGGATAATTATAATATTTTATATAATCTTTATAAAAATGCTTTCTGTAACTTGTTGACAAATCATATGTGTTCTGTTTGAGCAATATAAACATTGCTGCTTTATCTAACATGTGTCCTTATGGTATATTACTCTTTCCTAGTAATTAATTCCCTGGGGAACCCATCAGCATTAGAGATGTAAGAAAAATAAATCTGCTAAATTTTGTTACAACTTCCATGTTTGTTCTCAAAGGTACCCCACAAGGATAGGGTATAAGGAACACGTTACATGTTTTAGAAGAGAGAGCATGAAGTAAACCCACCAACATAATCTACAAATATAAAGGCCTATATTCTTTTTTTTTTTGAATCTGAAACTTTATTTTTGAAATTTTTACTGATTATATGAAAATTTTACAAAATTTATTTTTCACTGAATGATTTATTTAATTATATACAGTAAAATTCATAAATGTAATATATATAACTGGATAAATTAAGATAAATCCACCCTCCCATGTAACGAATACCCCAGTCAAGACAAACCTAGGACATTGCCCTTTGGTTCATGGTTCAAAGGACTTGGTTCCCTTTCAGTGTCTTCTATCCAAACCCCTTATCCTCACCTCCCTGTACCCCACATTCAGAAAATCCAGGCAACAACTACTCTGATTTTTAATACTGTATACTAATTTTACCTGTTCTTTACCTTCATGTAAATAGGATAATGTGGTGTTTTGTGTCTGGCTTCTTGTACTGATGGGTTTCAATAGTTCATTATTTATTACTTGGAGTAGTATGTCATTGTAGGAGTGTGCCATAATGTGTTTATTCATTCTCCTACTGAACACTTGGATTATTTTAAGTTTGGGGCTGTTGTTAACATTCTTGGGCTAACCTCTTGACAGTTGTTTTTAATTTCAAAATATGTACATTTGGAAAGATCTACCCCCTTAGCTGCAGATTCATACTCTAGGTTCTTAGGTTTTGTTTTGTAATCTGAGGATTGAACTGGGGTCTTATGTATGTCAGGTGTTGTGGTTTAGATGTGAGGTGTACCCCAAAAGCTCACATTTGAGTCAATGCAAGAAAGTTTAGAGATGACATGACTGGGTTATGAGTCTTAACCTAATCAGTGCATTAATCTCCTGATAGGGATTAACTGGGTGGTAAATGTAGGCAGGTAGGGTGTAAGGCCTATATTCTTTACAGACTTTTTTTTTCTTTCTTTCTTTGAGATGGGGGTCTCATTGTGTTACCTAGGCTGCCCTCCCACTCCTGAGCTCAAGTGATCCTCCTGCTTTAGCCTCCCAAGTAGCTAAGACTTTAGATGTTCACCTCTGAACCTGACAATTTTGTTTAAATTTTATTTTAAGACCTCATGAATATAGTAAAGTGAATGTAAGTGTATTTTTTACAGTTATTTAATAACAAGTTCATAGAATTTTTAGAGATTTCAAAGTATTGCGTATTTAATTGCCACAGAACAAAGAAATGGTATGTCTAGCAGATTGTTGAAATCAGAACATGAACTCAGTGTTTATTTTTCCTTTTACTAGGTGATACAAATATTTGAAATTATTAATTTTATCACATTTTAGTATTTTTATAGTGAAAGCTTTGGGGAAAATTTTTGAACTACAATGTAGTTTCTAGACATCGTTTTTCTTTTTAGTTATTCTACTAGTTACCATTAGGTGGTGATACATGGCCATACCAGAAACAAAAACAGGCAAAGAAATCTGAGCCAAAAAGCCATTGGATCTCTGAAAACTTATGTTTCTCACAAAGTTTTGAATTTTCTATATTGAAAACTTTGGGTTATTATTACAGAGTTAATTTTTTCAGCTTTTTATCAAACATACATCTGCATCTTAAGTATTTAACTTTTTAAACAATTAGTACTGCTTAATCACTTTTGAAGGTATAAAATATTTACCTTAGAATCTATTAATAGCTATTAGAAGATTAATAGATTTTAGAATCTATTAATAGCTATTGTCCCCTTCCTAGAAATATTTGCAGATAATGGACCTGAAGCCCCCTCATGAGCCTAGTTTAGAAGCCCATCTGGTTCTCTAGTTACAAATAACTGGAACTCCATACCCTGTCCTCTAGTGGACCTGACTAATTATGTGAACTGTAGTTTATCTTTCATCTGAAAACATTTGTGGCAACTCCTTCAATAATGCACATTTCCTCAGGAGATTGTGTTTCATAAAGCTGTGGCTGCAAGATAAAACTTCTATGGTTCTGTTGGTACCATCCACATCCTCACCACTGACAGTCTGAGGGCCTGGCAGGTACAGGGACCATGTGCCATGTGCTGGGTGCATTTGCACAGAGTAGAGGACGCTGCCCTGCTGTGTGAGGCCTCAGTCTAATGGCTTTATTTCTATTGTTCTACAGCAGCCCAAGAGTATGCAAAATCAGAACTTTTATTTTTTTAAAATTTTTTGTAGATGGACAGAATGGTTTTATTTTATTTTATTTTATTCTAAACCAGTGCCTCACTTGTGCTAGGCAAGTGCTCTGCCAAGTGAGCTACAGCCCCAACCCCCAAATCAGAACTTTTAAAGTGGGCTTTCCTCTTGTGTGTGTTCTCTACTCTTCTGTGAAATACTCTATTACTTCCCTTTCCCTCTGCCCTTTATTCTAACCTTTTAAGAGTAAATATATTTTCTAATTCTGCCCTTTAAATATTAGTTTTTCTTAGTCTAAAAATACTTTGTAAGTGCCCCCGTTGAACAGATATTAACCAGCACTCTATTCTCTGGCTCACTTAAGGAAGGCTTTTTTTTGGGTGGGGTGGGGGGACAGAGGAGGATTCTGTATTTTTCACATTATTAATTTCAAGGATTGGTAACATAATTGCATTAGACATAAAATAGAACTCTAGAAGTTGTAAAACTCTTAAAATATACAAACATTATAAAATCAAAGAAAATTTTTTATTGAGATCTTAAATAATTAATCAACATCAAGATATATTTTTTTAATTGATGATTTTACTCTTTAAATTTGTTTGTATGTACAAAAACATCTGCAGGACCTATTTTAATGCATTCAGACATAACAAGAATGTTTTCTTACTTATGTCTCTCAACTCAAATATTCGGTGTCCAGAAACATTGTCATAAATCAATTGCATGATATTTTTATTTCATGTTGTAATACATTGGTGTTAATGAGGTCAAAGTGTTGCCAAGGAAAGTAGAAGTACTCTGACTATACTGATCCTATTTTTTTTAACCATAAAATTTATTTTTATTTTTTTTTTAGTCATACATGACAGCAGAATGTATTTTGACATATAATACATACATGGAATGTACATACATCAATCATATTGTCTATTCTATTCTGCTGCCCTTCCTATCCTCCCTACTCCTCCCCTCCTCTCCCATCCTTTCTCTCTGTCCAATCTAATGTGACACACTTTTTTTTTCTTTTTCTCATCACAATATCATATATGTATTCTGTATAACAATGAGGTTCTCCTTCCATCTTCCGTGCAACTCCCCTTCTCCCTCTTTTTCCCTCCCACCTCTCTTCACTATTTAGTGGTAGTGTTCTTCTCATGCTCTTCCTCCCTATCCCATTTTGAGTCTCCCCCCTTATATCAGAGAAGACATTCGGCATTTGTTTTTTAGGGATTGGCTAACTTCACTTAGCATAATCTGCTCTAATGCCATCCATTTGCCTGCAAATGCCATGATCTTGTTATTTTTTAGTGCTGAGTAATATTCCATTGTGTATAAATACCACATTTTTAAAATCCATTCATCTATTGAAGAGCATCGAGGTTGGTTCCACATTCTAGTTATTGTGAATTGTGCTGCTATAAACATTGAATCAACATCAAGATATTAAATGTTCTTTATCAGCTAGATATATGTTGATTTCCTACCTTTATATATTGTCTATTAAATTAATTGTGAAATATTAATTTAAAATACCCTTAAATAACTTTTATTCCTCCCACATGTAGCGTAAAAGAGCAGTGGACCTTAATGTTAAAATTTTGGATTTGAGTAGTAAATTTCTCATGGGAACCAACTTTCCCAACAAGATTGAGAAGCATCTCTTACCAGATCACATTCACCATAACTTTGTACGTGATGGGGATCTTGTGGTAGTCGATGGTCTGCATGCGGAAGCACCAAATGACTTGGTATGTATTTTTCATTCTCTTTATTGTTTAGGTCCCATCTAGACATACTAAACAATGTATGTTGCTGCTGTATTAACCAAAAATTTGGTGATAAATTAAAATTCTTTATGTTACTAAGTTTTAAACTTTTAACTAATGGGATCATTAATTCCGTAAATGCTTTGAATAATGAAAATGATTTAATTTTTCATGTCTCATAAAAAATTTCCTTCTTCTTTTTTTTTGGGGGGGGGTGGTACCAGAGATTGAATTCAGGGGAACTTAACTACTGAGCCACATCCCCAGCACTTTTTTAAATTTTATTCAGAGACAGGGTCTCACTGAATTGCTTAAGGCCTAGTAAGTTGCTGAGGCTGGCTTTGAACTCACGATCCTCCTGCCTCAGCCTTTTAAGCTGCTGGGGTTACAGGTGTGCACCACCATGCCTGGCTTAAAAAATTCCTTTATTTTAGAAGATGATAAGAAACAACAATGACTGACTTTATAGACTGCTGAGATTTTTAATACATGAAGTCTTTATGTGATTAAAGATGCTTTATGTATAGAGAAATAGCACTGAGTCAAAGTTTGTCCCACCAGACCCTAGCTATAGCTCCAGTCAAGTATTCTGTTGTGACCCATACTATTTTATTGCTCTGAAAGCTTTATTCACCTTGTATAAATCAGTATTTAATTTTGAAAGTGATGATTATAGATAAAGTGGTGAGATTGGGACTATGTTATTGTTGCATAGGACTTTATGTTGTGGATTTTTATATCTTGCACTTTTTAAATATAGGTTCGAGAAGCTGCTTATAGGATTTTTCTTTATCCCAATGCCAGTCAATTGAAATATTTAGAAGAATTGCTAAGCAACAGAGACCTCCTGGCAAAGTTAGTAGGCTATTCTACATTTTCCCACAGGGCTCTCCAAGGAACAATAGCTCAAAAGCCAGGTAAGCCTATTTATCCACCTTTTAAGGACAAAATGGGGTTTTAAATGAAAATGAACTTGAGATATATATATATATATATATATATATATATATATATATATATATATATGTATATATGTATATATATGATATAGCTCAGTACTCACATATGCTAAGCAGGTACCTACCACTGAGCTATCTCCTCAGTCCCAAACTTCTGATTTTAAACAGCTATAAATGAGTGTTTTTTTTTGAATACACTCAGAGAACCGTTTATTGAGATTTTTGACATCTTTTGATGAGAATGATCTTTAAATAGAGCTAATAATTTGGTATATATTCTTTTCAGCTAAGGTTATTTATTTCATGCATGAAATGGGAGTAAATCAAATCCAAAGTTTCATTTGATGATAGTTTACATTCTTTTCATTCTAACTCAATTAATTTCTATATTTGACATAATCAAATTAGTTAGAATTAGGGTGAGAGGATGGACGATTAATATTTTTACTAAGGTCAAAGTTAAATATAAATATAAAAACACATAGTCCCACAAATCTACCTTTCATAGAGAATAGTACTGCATGGGAAGGTTTATGCTAGGTGGGGTTAAGGGATAGCCTCTATCCTTGAGTTTACAATAAACTTGCCTCGTGCTATGTTGAATCCTTTATGATTCATCATGTTTAAGAGAAAATGTTATACAGTGACCATAATATATATATAATGTCTTTTCAAAGACATTTTTTAAATCTCAGCTGTGATTTAGGCAGTGAATCAGGATTAGGTGGGTGAAATGGTGCAGCTGTTTAGATTCAAGATGAATTTTGGAGGTCAAAGTTATAAGACTTGGTGCAGGTTGAAAGGGAGGAGGAGATATTGCATCTGGATGGATATGCCATTCCTGGGTGGAGGCACCAAAAGCAAACTCTTTAGGGGGAAGATCGCATCCATAATTCTATGCTATTTTTCTTCCTTCCATGTTTATCCCTTCTTTCTTAATCATGTTCATGTGTTCCCTAAATTCTTTTAAACCTATCCAATTTTGTTTTCCACTCTTTCATACATATCTATTTCTATTTTCCCTTGACCTGTTTAAGGCTTTTTGTGAGGCCGTAGGCATGTCACACTCATTTGGGTCTGGGTGCCTTTGCTCATACTTTGTTTTTCAGTGCTCAGCATCCAATCCACCTCTTTCATGAAGCCTGTTAAACTTTTTTACTTTCCTTGAGCTCTTTTGTCCTTGAAACCTTTATGTGCATACAATTTTTTTTTTTTTTTCAGGGCTGAGGATGGAGCTTAGGACCTTGCCCATGCTAGACAATTAATCTGCCATTGAGTTATACCACCAGCCAAGCAGTTAAAATTTGTTTCATATAATTTAGCTCCTAAATAGGCTCACGTGTACATCATGCATTATATGTATATATTTTAAATTTTGTGTTATTCCTGTAGTCACTGTTATTATCACTTTGATTATAATACTAATTTTTATTTTTATATAAATATAAAATATACTATTGGACTATTATTTAGAGCTTACTCTGACATTATCACATTTAATTTTTCTAAGGTTTTGTGAAGTAGGCATCCTATCCACAGATAAAAAATATAAGTTTAGGATATTTTGCTAAAACATGGCAGAGCTAGAACCTAAACACATATTCTATAAAGTTACCTCCATAGGCTTCTTGAAAGCCAGTGCTCTGTTTTCATTCATTGACTCAAGAAGTTTTCACTTAGTGCCTACTATATGTCAGATATCATTCTAGGCACTGGAAATGGGTCAGTGTAGAAAACAGTATAGGAAATTGGCATTCTTAGAAGGGAAGACAGTTAAGAACTCAGTAAGTGGGTCGAGTGTGTGTGGGGGGCAGCATTACAGTTTCACATACAATTGTTATCTGGAAGGGCTTGCTGAGAATATGATGTGTGAGTGTAGACCCAAAAGGGGTGCAAGAAAGATTCTGTTGCCATCTAGAGAGAAGGTTCTGAGCAGAAGCATGAGCAAGTACCAAACTTTTGAGACAAAATGACTGACATGTTTGAGGAAAAGTACAAAGGGCAAAATGGAGTGGAGGAAGGGGAGAATGGAAAGAGGTGAAAACAAAGGTCTTGGCAGGGAGGTCTGCATGAAGTGGGGCCTTGACTTAAGTGAAACGAAAAGACATTGCAGGCATTGGGTGAGAAGTGAAATGATCTGACATATCTAGTGATAAGTCATGTGCTGCTGATGTCAAGAAAGACTGCAGTGGGGTGGGAGTGATGGAATGACATTTGGAAACGATTTTGCAATAATCATAAGAAATGATGCATCTTGATCAGATTGGTAGCAGTGCAGCTGGTAAAGATGGGGTCAGAGTTAGATATAGAGTATTTTTTTCCTTCTTTCCGATTTTTTTTTGGTGCATTATGGTTGTATATAACTGTGGAATTTATTGTTACATATTCATACATGCACACAATATAACAATATAATATGGCCAGTATCACTCCCTAGCACTTACCCCTCTTTCCCTCTTTCTACCCCATGGTCCTTTCCCTCTTCTGATCTCCCTTTGATCTTCATGAGTTACCCCCACCTCACTTCTTTTCCTTTTTCCTCTTTCACTTCCACATATAAGAGAAAATGTAAGGACACCTGACCTTCTGAGTTTGGCTTATTTCACTTAATATAATTCTAGTTCCTGGCTATAGAGAATTTTGACGTGAGAGCCAAAGGTTTTGACTTAAGCAAATGGAAAGAGAGTGAGTTACTATTAACTGAGATAGGAAGGCCAAAACCTTGTTTTGGTTTAAGTTAAATTTGAGATGGAAGTTGGCATTCAAGTGGCAAAGCTGAGTAGGAAGTTAGATATTCAAACATGGAGTTGAGAGTGTTCTGAGCTAGAAATGTACATTTGAATCTTTATATGAATTTTTGTGCCAAGGGAGTATATTAGTGAGAAGGAAGGAAAGCAAATAAGAGCATGTGTTCCTGGAGGCCATGAAAAAGAAAGTCTTAAGAAGAAGGGAGTGAGTTGACTGTAATGCTGTGGGAAGATCAAGTAGGAAGAGAGGACTAGGGACTGTCATTAGCTCAAGTGCTATGGATTGGAGCTCACCAGAACTGCAGCAACCTCAGCCATATATCAATGCTGACAAATCACCTTGTTCACTGAGTGGTTGGTGTGGTGGTGGTATTTTGGAGTGAGACTCTATGAATACAGTTACATAGATAGGCTGTGACCTGTATCCTTGAGGGGACTTATAATTGGTTAATAATGAGCCCAGGTGTATACATGTAAAAGTAGATATTAATAGTACAGGTTGGCAGAGCTTTACTGCCAAATGATTAGTATAGACAAAACAGTGCCATAGGACTTTATGGAGTCAGTAAGTTTGTCAGATACTTAGGTGGCTGTTGAGATCTCATGAAGGAGGTGCACAGGGAAGAGATGGGAGTCTTCACAGGTATAAGGATGGCAGAGAAAGGGGTAAATGAGGGTAAGATGGACATTCATGTGATGGGTGAATTAGGAAATAACTGCAGCGAGTGAGGCATTTATTTTTAGGAGTTTCAAATTTAGTCCTTTTAATATGACAATTTTACAGATCCTTTTTTTTTTTTTTTTTGTAGCAGAGATTGAATTCAGGGGTGGTTTACACTGAGCTACATCTCCAGCCCTTTTTAGTTTTGATTTTGAGACAGGGTCTTGAAAAATTGTTTAGGGTCTTGCTAAGTTGTTTAGCTTGGCCTCAAACTTTGAATTTTGCCTCAACCTCTTGAGTTGCTAAGTTTATAGGCGTGTATTCCCACACCCAGCTCTAGATAGATTTTTGAGGCAGATTATTGTGACCAGAAAAATTAAGTGGGTAAATGTAGCAAAATATGGTTGTCAAGAAATAAAAAGTAGGGGCTGGGGATGTGGCTCAAGCGGAAGCACGCTCGCCTGGCATGCGCGGGGCACTTGGTTCGATCCTCAGCATCACATAAATGAAGATATTGTGTCCACCGAAAACTAAAAAATAAATATTAACAAAATTCTCTCTCTCACTCTCTCACTCTTTCTCTTAAAAAAAAAAAAATAAAAAATATACACCGTGATTTATTTATAAATAGTCCTATATGGTAGCTGGTATGATATTCTAAAGTGAGATTTCATTTTCGAATACATAGCAATTTTCTTTTTTCTTTCTGTAATTGCTAACACCACTTATATGAAATATGAAGCAGTATCTTCAAAATTAATCTATCCAAGACTTGTTAAGTATTGACAGTGGCAAGAAGCCCTATGGCTTCATGGTTTAGGTTAACCTCCATTCTTTCCTTAGACTTTTCACTCAGAAAGGAGATAACTTAAATTGAAGAGAGGGCAAGAAACTTAAAACCATGTAAAAGATCATCTGGAACATATAAAACAATGTTTGTGGTAAACTAAAATACACATGAAAGCTCTATACACAGTCAGTGGCAAAAAGTGCCAAATGAAAAAATACACATAAAACATTTCCTTTTGTGGGAAATAATGGCAATTTTATTATATTACTTTTATAGATTTATAAATTATAAGGACACAGTATTTTAATATACACTTAAAAAATTTTGTTAGACCTTAAAATATTTAATGTTATAGTTTTGCTTTATCTTATTTTGGTATTACCTCAAATAGATTATTCTATACTTGTTTATAAAAATAAGAATAGTCAATATTTTAATTTTCTTTCAATTTTCAGTAAATCATACTTCATGATTTTTTTAAAAAAATTTTTTTTAGTTGTAGATGGACACAATATCTTCATTTTTATTTGTTTATTTTTATGTGGTGCTGGGGACCAAACCCAGGGCCACATGCATATGAAGCAAGTGCTCTACTACTGAGCTATAACCCCAGCCCATATTTCATGATTTTTAAAATTTAATTTTTAGCAAATCATATTTCAAAAGTATACTACTTCTTTTTATGAACAAACCTGTCTAGCTATCTCTTTAAAACTTAGGAAAAAATTGGACATGCCTAAGATATAATTTTTTTCTCTTATACATATAGATAGAATCACATTGAAATTTTGGATGTTTTCTTTTAGCCTTTCACTGACAATTTTAATTTTGGGGTATAACCTAAGGATTTAGATTCTTACTATGCCAGGGTTTTATTTGTTTATTTGTTTGTTTTGTACTGGGAAGCACTTAACCACTGAGCCATCCCCACTCCTTTTTATTTTTTATTTTGAGATAGGGTCTGGCTAAGATGCTTAGAGTCTCGCTTAGTTGCTGAACCTGCAATTGGCTTTGAACCTGTAATCCTCCAGCCTCAGCCTCTAGAGGGGCTGGTATTACAGGATAATGTACCATCATGCCTGGCTTACTATGGTAGTTTAATTTATTTTTCTGATTAATTAGAAAAGAGATTATCTATAAATGTTTATTATATAACAGGTTAGCAACCCTGCTTCAGTTTGAAAATCACCACTTTAAGGGAGTTGTATGTAGATTATGATTATCACAATATAATTTTCTCAGGTGTGTTCATGTTACTTCTCGTAATTGAAGCTGTTTTCTTTGGATTTTATTTTTAGAGACTGTCATGCAGTTCCTTGAGAAACTATCTGACAAACTTTGTGAAAGGTTAGTTTTTCTTCTGCTATTTAGTGTTAAATGTTATATAGTTTTTTAAATAGAGAACTTAATATATAAAATAAATTAAGAAGTGACCTGTTAAGAGTATGTTGGAATATTAGCTATGCAGACCACTCAGCAAGACATATTCACTGTGAAGACCTATTTTGAAAGAATACGGTGGTTTTCTTAAGGTGCCAATCTTGACAATTTAGGTGGTCCACTGTCATTAATCCATTGTCTTTAGCAACCCATCATTTGTGTGTAATTTAAAAATGTTCCCAAAGCCTTCTTGAATGTATTTATTTTAACCTGTAGAGTTAATTTTATAACAAGCATGTAAAGTATCATTTCTCATCTTTCCAGCTAAGTACAAGAGATTCACAGATATGGTGGATTAATCTGTTTGGCATTTTGTGGATTTTAAGAGTGGCTCTGCCTCGATGTTTTGTACATCAAGCTAAAATATTTCCCTCTGTTTGGTTGGGTTCTTTTATTACAATGCTGACTTTCCTGCCCAGTCCTTTCATTATGCCTTTGTCCTTGCCTTTGATTGATGCTCTTCTAGTTCTAGTGGAGGGGCAAAATATGACTGCCCTTAAATAGCTAGGGTTCCAGAAAGTGGGGCACATGTGGCTTGTAAAAGAGGGCCAGGTCATCTCTTTTCTTTCTTTTAATGCTTTCTAAAATTTCAGTAGCCTTTTTTGACTATTGCAAATTTGTTAGCTCAAATTTCTGTTTTGGATTAGATAGTCATGTTTTGGAACACATTGCTTTCTAATTTGGTTTACGTTTATCAATTCTAAAATCTTCTTAATACCAGTGAACCATTGGGTTTTTGAGGAGGGACTGTTAGGCAATTATTTAAGAATTAATTCTATTTAGCTAGGTGTGGCACACACCTGTAATCCCAGCTACTTGGGGGTTGAGACAGGGGGATTGCAAGTTAGAGGCTAGTCTGGGCAATGTACCTAGTCTCAAATTTTAAAATATATTTTTTAAACATTTAAAAAACATTCCTAATTGCTCAATTTTAATGCAAACCAGACAGTTTCAAAATAACAAATAATTTATAAAATTGAGCTGGGGAAGTAGATGCATCTCAGGGATAGAACACTTGTGGGTTCAATCCCCAGTGCTTCAAAACAAAAACAAATCCAATTTATTGTACTTTGCTGTGATGGTTAAGTGGTGCAGTGTTCTTTCTCCACTTATATGTGTTTATAGGTAGTATTTCAGCTAACATATCTGTATAATTTTATAGTTATATAGGAGTTAATTCTAATGAAAAATTTATATTTTATAAATATTAAAGACTTGTTGAATTATTGCCAAACTAGTGTATTTCTATAGGGAAAAAATTATGAACAGCAATCTTAATTATCTATATTAATATTCTTTTATAGAGAATATTGTGTAAGTTTCTTACCTTTTTAAAGCAAGATTTTAAAGCACTTTTTTTTAATAGTGCTTTTTAAAGTACTATTTTTGGAGTAAAAATAGTGATTTGAATAATGCTTTTTAAGATAGGCATATCTGTATAATGCTTTTTTTTAAGATAGGAATTGAAGTGATATACTAATTTATGCAGTCTTGTCTCTTCTAATACTTTAGTAAAATTTGGATTAATACTAGTTTACATTTGTTCATAGATTATATCTAATTTTATCATGAATATTGGAAAGTTAGTTCTTTCATAATTATTAAAGTTTTGTCCTAATAAATAATGATAAACCTGTTTTACAGAACTATAAAAGATTTTGAGATGATGCGACAGATGAAAATGAAACTAAATCCTCAAAATTCTGTAAGTAAATATTTTGGAATATTTTTATTATGAGCAGGCTATCAACTGAAATGATTATCTCTTGATTCTAGAACTTTCTTGCGATATGCTGGAGGTCTGTGTTGTTTTGTTTTTGATGCTTGGTTTGGTGATTAAAGGTATTGAAATATTTGATCCAGAAATTTGAATGTGCGTATGTGTATGTGTGTATGTGCATTAACCTTATGAGCATTCATGCCAGGGCTGCTTTCATTCTACAGAAAGTTGGCTTCTCAATTTGAAGCATCTTTTAATGAGACTCAGTGAAGACTCAATCTAGCAGTTGGTAATTTTAACCATCGACATTAATACTGATGTTTACATGCTCACTTATTTGTTTGCTAATTTATGAGGCTCAGTTAAGTAGATCAGTGTTAACTGACAAAGTATATCCCTTTCTAAAAACATACATTGTTTTCAATCATAAAGCACATGATTGTATGACCTTATAATGTAGAGTAAGGGTCTTTACAACCAGCATGCTGCCCAAGTGATGGAGATGCTCTGAAAGTGATGGGATTCCAAATGTCAGGACCCTTGTTCCCATTTAGTTTGAAGCCTCCTCAGGATTTCTGGAGTTGTATATGCCTTTCTGTTTTAGTCTTTTTTACTACTCTGACTAAAGGACCTGACCAGCACAATTGTAAATGAAGAAAAGTTCATTTGAGAGCTCATGGTTTCAGAGGTCTTAGTCCATAGAAGGCCAGTTCCATTCCTTGGGGCTTGAGGTGAGGCAGAATATCATGGCAGAAGAGTGTGGCAGAGGCAGGCAGCTCACATAGTAATCAGGAAGCACAGAGAGAGAGAGTCTCCACACTCAAGATACAAAATATATACCCCAAAGCTATACCCCAGTTGCCACCTCCTTCAGCCATACCCTTCACTTCAGTTACTACTCAGTTAATCCCTATCAGGGAATTAAATCACTGATTGGATTAAGACTCTTGCAAGCTAATCATTTCTCCTCTGAACCTTCTTGCATTGTTTCACATGTGAGCTTTTGGAGGATACCACATCCAAACCATAACACCTTCTTTCATAGGTGCTGCTGTTGGTAATTCTTGATTCAATAGCAGCTACTACTACAGGAATAATTTAGGGTACAGGGCCTTGCATATTTAGAAACTATATGTCAGCTTCTCAGATACAACCACTGTGAAACAGATTTTAAATTGCTGGATTTGATGGGATTAGAGTAGTATGTTAATCTGTTAATTTATGATAGGAACCATATTTAGCAAAATTACTAGTATTGGTTATCTGCACTCTTTGGCTTGGTGGATAGGTCTACTTAAGAAACCAGATAAGAGATCAGAATATGGTTTGGTGAATATGGAAACAGAAAAAAATGAGTTGCCAGAAGCAAATTCAATAAAACCTGATATGACTTTAAACTATTCTTCCTAGGCATTTTTGTGCAGTTTATTAACTATTATATATTATTCTGCAGATATTTGTGAGGTGCCCACTCTCCTCATGAGTCTGTTCTGGTGAATGTTGCCACCACTCACCCTGCTGCCCTAGTCAGCACCTCCACTTCGTGTAGATCAGTGGTTTCCAAAATGTGGTCTCTGGACCAGAAACATCACTTGGAGATTTGGTAGAAATACAAATTCTCCAGCCCCTTATCAGACCCATTGAATCAGAGAGCCTGGAGCAAGCCCCATGAGATGAATTTTAACAAATCCTCCAGGGTAGTTCACATCCTCACTTATTAGTTCTTACACATTCTGCTATCTCAAGAACATGCCCAAAGATGGAAATGGGTTCTTGCTTCCCTATGCCTATTGCCACAGCCTTAGTTGGATCATTATTATTTGTCACTCACATCATAATTGTAGTTGTTTTATTGGTTTTCTAGCCTTTTGTTCTTGCTCCCTTCAAAACCATACCAGATTCAGACTGTACAGCAATGTGCCCAGCCCAGTGTTAGCAGAGAGTAGGTGCCAACACTTATTTGAAATATGAATAAGTGAATAGATTCCCACCTAAGAGGTATTTTTTTCTAAAAGCAGATCTGCTCTTGTCACTCTTTTATTTAAAATTCTTCAATAACTCCTTACAATTCTTAAGATTTGCCTTCCAATTTCTTTGTGTCTTCCACCAGGCCCTTCAGGATTCAGGCCTGTTTATCTTTTAGGTCTCATCTCCTACTCCCCCTTTAAGTTGAGTTTAGCATTCTTTATTCTTGTCTAATACCTGTGTGGTACTCATGTGCCTTTTATGTTTACTTTTGTTTAGCTTACCCTTGATGTACTTTATTGTTTATGTGCCAGCCACATACATATGGCATGGTAGGTAGCTTGTGATCATGTAACATGGAAAAGAAAACCTCATTATTTGAGGAGATAATGCTGACCTTAAATTTTAGAGGGTGATGTTGACAAGAAAAACAGCCTGTATTTATGCCAGACATTGTATTTAATAATCTAAGTGCATTTAGCAGTCCTATTTGGGATGTGTTGTTGGTTCATTCAACAAATATTTTTTGAGTGACTACCATGTACCAGGCACTGTCCAGGGTGCCAGGATACAATAGGGAATAATGCAAACAAAGTTGCTGGCCTTATGCAGTTTTCAGTTTGGTGTGGATTGAAAACTTGAACCTGACGGTCTGACTTCACAGTCTAGGCTCTTCACCAGTCTTTTTGCCACCTGGACACCTTGTAGGGAGGATGATCTATTCAAATGTTCAAGCTTTCCTTTGATTTTTTTTTTTTTTTTTTTTACCATTTGTCAAAAACAACTATTATTGTGATATTTCTTTATGACAAATTTTCTTTGCCAAGATTAGAGTTAATTCTGCCTTACTTACATTGTAAATTATTGCTTTCAGTTTTGGGATCTGCCCTAATCTTCATGCTTACATTTAGAAAGAACCCTAATCTAATCTTTAGTATTTTAATCATAATGCAGTACATTTTTAAAGATTAATACCTGGGTTACATTTTGCAAAATTTTCTTCACAGCTCATTTAATTTGTTAATGTTGTCTTTGGTTTACATTTTTTAGTAAAGTAATGTATTCATTTTGAGATGGGGTTTCCCTATGTTGCCCGGGCTGGCCTTGAACTCCCCACCTCTGCCTCCAGAGTAGTTGGCATGTACCATGGCACCTGGCTTTAGTTTACACTTCAGAATTACACTTGTTTATCTTTATCCCAAATTCTAGGATTAGGTCTTCTTTATCCATTGAATTAGGAGAAGCCAAATTCCTCCAGGCTATGAATTTTTAGGGTTTTTATAAAATTTTTCTGATATACATTAACTGACTTACATTCTTTAAGCAGGCTGATTTACAGTAACTGGTTTACGTGTTATAAGTTTGGCTACATTACCAATAAAAAATTTGAAACTGTCAATATCTTCATCACTATGAATTATTTGATTGTAGGAACTGATGCCTTGGGATCCCCCCTACTACAGTGGTGTGATTCGTGCAGAGAGGTAAGTTTTCCAAGAAATACACATGTAAGAAGGAAATAGGAAAGTAATATTTACTGAGAACTTTGCACATTAATTATGCAGCTACTGTCATGCACTCAGGTGCCCACCTTACACATGTGTTTCCCCTCAAACCCATCCCCTCTGTTGGTAGGTACACTTCTGCCCACAAATTTTTAAAATCTGGATTGCAAAGTTGTGCTGTGTCATAGGATCATGCTTTACCTCTCCCCCACTGGTTCATTCTTACGTTGCTTGTGTCATTTCCTCCTTTAAAACTTTGAAATATCTTCCCACAGCATCCAGCATCTGTCTTCTCTCCAACCTTTCCAGTGCATAGGTTCCTGGTTCTCTTCCTAGACTATGGGCATTTAAATGCTGGGACTTTGCTAGAACCCTTACTGTCTCCCCTTGCTGGTCCAGGGTAGGTGCTCAGCAAATGTTTGTTGAACCATTGAGGGAACAAAGCAGTACTTCCTCATTCCTATGTGATTTCCATATGTTTTCTCATTTTTATTAGAATATTTTGTCAACATGTTTTTGGCACATTCAGAGGGATATAAATGAACTAAAAATTTTAGGAAACAAGTTGATCAAAGCAGTCTTCTAGCTTCTATATTGTCTTTCTTTGTTAAAGTATTAGATATATCTTTTTTTCCCTAAACATATTCTATTTCTTTCATTTGTATATTTACTTATAACCCAAGAATATAGAGATCTGTTTAAAATTAACCCATTGAAAAATGTATGTCCCCAGCACTTTTATATGCCCAGAGGGATTTTTTTTTTTGAAAAAAATCTCAGAATCCTACCCTTTAACATTTTGTTTACATTTTTCTCTTATAAATCTTTTTTTTTTTTTGCATTTTACTTAAAATATTTTTTATTTGTTTTAATTAGTTATACATGACAGTAGAGTGCATTTATGTACTTTGATGTGTCATACATAAATGGGGTATAATTTCTCATTTTTCTCATTGTACATGTTGTAGAATCACATTGGTCAGGCAGTCATATATGTACATAAGGTAGTAAAGTCTGTTTCATTCTATTATCCTTTATATCCCTATATCCCCTCCCGTCCCTTCACCCTTCTCTACCTAATCTAAAGTAATTATTTTTCCCTGCCCACCTTATTGTAGATTAGCATCCACATATTAGAGAAAACATTTGACCTTTGGGTTTTGGGGATTGGTTTATTTCGCTTACCACTATATTCTCCAATTCTATCCATTTACTGGCAAATGCCCTAATTTCATTCTTCTTTAAAACTGAGTAATATTCCATCAAATATATATACCACATTTTCTTCATCCATTCATCTGTTGAAGGGCACGTAGATAATTTTTGATGTAGGTAATTTGACTAAGGTTATGATTTATTTGAGTAATAGAATAAAATATGTTTTTTTGTCTTTCTCCTTACTAAAACATAGGTGTATCTTGATGATGTATTTATTTGGTGTAAGCTTTAAAATATTCTTATTCCTATGCATTATTAAGCATCAAGTAAAGGGTAGAAGGAACCTTTCTAAAATTAGACTATAATTTTTAATTATTTCTTTTGTCATTTGTTGAAATAGCAGAAAAAAATAACTTTATATGACCTCTTCTACATCAACAGGATGAGATGTCCTAAGATAATTCTACATCAGATAATTCATTTTCATTCATTTTCTCGTCTTTGACCTTTATTCATTACTGTTCTCAAAACCATTGATAAAGCATAATTAACACCAAACCTTTAGGTAATAATATTTGATCAGCTATTTTTTTACACATGTATCTCAAATTCAGTATAATAATTTAGCCATGATAAACAGGGATTTATAGTATGTTATGGCTTAACATATGATATTATTTCAAAGTGGCTCTTTTTTTTGGTTAAAAACTTCAGACCCTGCTCATGAAAATATAATTTTTCTTCTAAAATTCTTTTAAAGAAAGATTTAATCTTATTGCTTACTCTGTTAAAAATGTGGCATAAAGGTATACTAACATTTACTTATTAATGTTTTCCATTTTTAAAGTATTTGATTTGATTTTTGATGTTGAGAAATGATGCAGATTGAATGTATTTGGTTCTGATTTTTGCTACCATGGTTTGTGTGTGGTATTACTTCCATATCATGTTCCCCACCCCTGATCATTTTAATTAACGCCTTAGCCTTAAATTAAAGTGGTATTTTTGTCCTTTAACTATATTCTCTAAGTCTAGCATGCCTGAAAGATGGTTCTGTGGAAATTTCATATGAATATTCAAAGATTTGGAAAGATATAATCAATAGAAGTTTAAAGCATATTTATTAATTAGGCATCTGAGATCCCTCAGAAGTTTGATGTGGTTTTAAGCAAAAGCTATCAAATAAAGGATAGTAATGTCTTCTCCATTTGTGCTAAAAATACAATATTGAGAAGTCTTTCTGTTGCTGACCAACTCTAGAGTCAGGACTTACAGATCCCTGATCCTCCAGTAGTTATAGAGTTCTCACTCCTCAACATGCCACAGAGACATGGTCTTTTTGCCAAGTTCTCCATTAGAAAGAGTGGAAATACCAGAGACAGCTATTCCTGTGGCCAGGAACACATTCCTAGAAGCTAGAAGGAATAGCAAATCCTGGCCACCATTTAAGGGGCCACATGATCTTTGACAGATTACTTATGCTCTCTCAGCCTTTCAGCAGGGTTATTTCTAAAACTGATTATAGTTGCCTGACTTCATGGGTCAGGCTTAAGGAGATGTTAGTATTGTTAGTAGATACATTATATTATTATATGGAATTGTCTATTTGTGGACTCTCTTCTAAGAAGTGATCTACTCTACGATGCTTTTTAGGTACTCTCCAACATCTTTTAAAGGAGAGGGCAGATCTCCCTTTTTAAAAAAATACTCGTCAAAACTATAGTGAACGTTTCACATGAATTTTAGAATGCTCTTCAGAGAGCTTTTGATGACGGATTAAGAATGAATACTAAAAGAGAGAAGACCGTGTTGCCTGTGCTTCCCAGCATCACAGTATCCAGGGTGGAAGTGCCCTGCATCCATCTGGCAGAATGGCTTTTTGCTGTTGATCAATTTCCTCTTCCAGGTTGAGGGGTCACCACTGCCTTCAAAATAAAATTGGAGCTGTCGTTCAGGGTCTTAAAGGATCTGATCATGCTTTTCTTTTAACAATAAATAAAAAGGTGTATATCCTTATTTCTGAAGCATTCAACAATTTGTATTGATTCTCTAAAATTTTTTGAAAGATGAGTGTTTTAAAGGTGGCACTGACCTTTAAAAGATTTTAGAGAATACTTAAAGAGGATCCCATGAAGTAGACCATCCCCTAGAAGAATTTCCAGGATGGCAAGTATCCAGGTTGGATCTAGCCTGCCATTCTGATTTTTTTTTTTCCCCACCAGTTGTCTTCCTCCAAACCTTTCCTCAGCTAAACTAAACTCTCTTCTCCAGTCAGACCCCTTTGTCTCAGAGACAGAATCTGTGTTTGGTGAGCAATCAGATTTTCCTTCCTAGTGTTTCTTCTTCATCTGCAAAATCTTGCTGAGTGTGTCTACCTGCCTGATGGCCACGTGGGGCTTTAACTTATTTTAACTAACATTTCATACTAGTTCATTTACTTGGCTATTAACTCAGGAAAAGGGATGCAGAAATGCTTCAGAAGGGATTGTGAGATTGGGGGTTTTTAAACATCTATGTTAAGTAGCTTACCGGGAATAAATGATGGTATTTGGGTTTGAGGTTTTAATAATCTTGATTGATTAGAGTGGGAAGAGAAGCATAGGTAATAGATGAGAAAGAAGGGGAAAATATAATAATTTGGGTTGAGGTTAGAGGAATGGAACAAAGAAAAGATTTCTAGATCCTTGATAAATTCATAGAATTTCAGGTAAAGACATAAATATGTGGGTGGACACAAAATGAAAATTAGAAGGGGCCTTTCCTTGATTGGAACTTTTCTTCAAGCTAAATGCCAGGGACTATTTTTCTTGCTTTTATGTTAAACACTCCTGATTTATTTCACGTTTCCTAAATGTCTCTCCAAAGAAGAAAAGAACCTATTTAGAAGTAAGAGGAGAAATCAGTATTTTTTAAACCAACCAAAGATTGATCTGAGAAAATACTGGATAAAGAACCATTGGTATATCTTAAAAAGAGCAACTCATTGTTTTCTTTTTTAAGTTTTAGTGTTAAATTCTTACGGGAAGGCAAAATTAATTCTTTCAGCTATGAAAAGTATACATGATTTTATTTGAAATTAAATTTTGTTTTGGAATAAATAATATATTCATATGATTTTAAAAAATTAAAACAATGTTAAAAAGTGTTCATTAAGAAATGTTGATCTTATCCTTGCCTCTACCCCCAGAGGTCATCATTTTAGAGTTGTTTAATGTACCTGTATAGTGTTTGGGTTTTGTTTTTAATCCTTTGGGGTCTTGTCTCTTTTCTGCCAATAATGAGTTTCAGTGAATCATATTTTATTTATTTTGCTGCTATTTTACATTAAGATGCCATTGGGAAGTGAAATTCAATATTGTCTATTCCTTGTTAAGGTATAATCTCAAAATCTTAAGAACATTTATATAATGAAAATAGGGGTGTTTTGTGTTTTAAATTATTCAGAAAATACTGGGCTCTCACAGAAGGACTTCTGGTTGGTATGTGAAATTATATATTTATTTGTTTGCATAGATGTAGGGACCTCCATGGATTTAAAGTTAAAAATTAACCTTTATTATGAAAACTTACAAAATAGAAGTAGAATGACATGATTAACTCCTATATGTTCTTCTCTTGGATTCAATGATTATCAAGATTTGCTAGATTTGCTTCATGTATCCCTTTTTCCCTTTTATTTTTCTTCTCTGTTGGCATTCTTTACTCCTCTCCCTCATGGCTTTACTTCTTTGCTTGTTACTGAATATTTTAAAGTAATCTTAGCATTCCAGTTATCTTCCTCTTATGTATTTATCACATATCTCTAAAAAACATGAACATAA